TTCAGAAATATTATATAAATAACAATGCAACATATTTAAAATTTATAAGAGTCTTGCTTTACATTCTTATTATTATTAATCTATATAAGAATTTATTAATTTATATTATAGAATATATATTATATTTGACTCTAAGCATTGTCGATATTTTTTATGTAGTAGGTATAATATAATACAAAAGATTAAAATACAGAAAGATTAATTATTTATTAGACGATTAATGTATCACAATTCCTTATCACTCGATTCTGCGATTCGATCATCATATTTATATTGTCGAAAAGTCAAATAATAAATCATCGGACAAAATATATATTTATCACTATCATTAAAGAAATAATTATTTTTCATAAAGATCGCAACTAATCAGCTTATATAATTTGAATTCCTGTTGCTTTGATTCTTCGATTCTTATTTGATTCAATGACAATGCATTAATTAAATTACGAAAAATGCATTGAGATTTATAGTCGCGATGAATAACATGTTAATTACAAATGTCAATTACTCATTAATAATATTATCAAAACAAATAACTTTCCAGTATTTATCGCGATCACATTTAGAAAAGAAATTCACTACAACTTTACTTCAAGTCGGCGCGCGAATGTTTACAAAGCTGAAGCACGTCAATAATAAGACGATACCAAAGCCGAATATACTATGTTATTGATAGTTAATTGCCGAAATATTTTATGCACTGTAATACTCATCGTTATTTGCACGGTGAAACTCGAGCGAGAAGGTGTAGCAATATATATATAGACGCATATTCATATATTATCGTTTTATCATGCATTATATCATGCGAAATCATTTTATATAATTATTTAAAATTAGCAATTATCAGCCCATGCGATTTGATTGATTAATGATTCGAATAATTGATGTCTATAATTAATGTGCAACTACACACATATATGTATATCGCGGCGAGAAGTAAAAAATTTTATTCGTATAATTTATTACTTACATAATTTAATTTTCTACATACATAATATATATGTCATATAAAATAAAAAATATTTTATTATATAAAATGTTTTGACAATACTTAGAGCCAAATATAATATAATATATTTTTATCATTTTGATTAGTCTCTTGAAATTCATATCTAATCTAAATTAGTCTCTTTAAATTTATATCTAATCTAAATTTGTTTAAATATTAGATAATATGAATATTGAATTAAAAAAAAGGAATAATTATTATATGCAAATTAATGTTACTTATTTATTTATATGCTTTTTGAAAATATAACTTCGCTCTTTTTAAATTTATTTTGAATTAAAAAGTTTTCCTTGAAATTTGTACAAATCTGTAGAGTTCAATTGCAGGATTCAGAACACAAACGTTCGCGTGATCGTGCAATTTGATACAATTGACCTCTTCTTTTGTGAATTGAGGGTGGGATTGCGAGAGACTTGCGAAACTAGGTTCCCCATTGTCTTATTCTTATGTGTCTCGTTTCCTCTTGTGACCATTCCCACTGAACATCGTGATAATTTTATCCAATAAACGTCCATTTTTGTCTCCTTTGTCGTTACCTTCACTTGCATAATAGTATCCGATGAAAATCCTTGAAGGATTATATCAGCTGCCTCGAGTGACTCCTTCTTCTTCCGGAAAGTGTCGTCAGTTTTTTAATGCAACCTTTTTCTAAAATCTAATAAACTATTGTCTTTAATATTATAATCAGCATTAACTTTCATTCTGACATTCCAGAGCCAACAGCATCTTTTTTTTGCGTTAATTAAGCGGCTTTCTATTTTCTAAAATTAGGAGATTCTCACTATTTGCAATTCAAACAATCGATCTGCACTCTGAATGCGCTAATTTAGCATTGGAAATATAGTTATTCAGTCAAGTTTTGAAGTGAGGGAAAAATGCTTGACATTTTCAGAAAGAATTTCTCTCTAGCTCACTAACAAAATTTCTTCATTATCGACTTTATAATAATAAAGCAGACTGTTTTGATTAAAAAAAAACTCTGTTTGTCCTCGAAACAAGTCGAATTCTTTCGATCTTAAATTCCAGTCAAAATTAGAATGTTGTTGCACACAATCAGGATTCTTTAATGACCAGGATGCAACAGGTCTGAGTGCTTTTGCAAAAATTCGTGGATCGCGAGAAGTCGAATAAAAAGTGACAGGAAAGAAATCGCGCGCTATTCTATATTTCTTTCTACTTAATATTATAACTAATTAATAGAGATGTGCGAATCAAGATTTTCTAATTCGAATCGAATCGAATCGAATTTGCAAAAAAACAACTTGAATTGAATCGAATCGAATCACCCATATTTTGAATTCGAATCGAATCAACGCGTATAGAATTAAACGATAGAATTAAACGGATTAACGACCTTCTTACGCATTCTTTGATTCGAATTCGAATTGCAGTGATTTTACGTTATCGAATCTTTCGATTTCGAACTACGTCGATTTGAATTCGAATGCAATCGAATATTGCCAGATTCGATTCGAATTCGAATAATTCGCACATCTCTACTAATTAATTTGTATATGTATAATCTAAAACAAATAATAAGATGCAATTTAATTCGACCAAAAACTGGCTATTTATTTATTGAAAATCTCATCTTATTATTTGTTAAAATTTTATCACTGGCGATCAACAATTAATTGTGAAGATTTTATAATCTAAAACGTTTTATAAAATTATGTGTCATGAAGAAAAGAGAGAGTGAACAAAATTTAATGTTATATAAAGTTCGTTTTGATGATTAAAAATTACATCTTCTTAGGTAATGTTTTTATCGAAAGAATAGAATTATACATATATAAATGACTATACTATTAGTTACGTAAACGCATATTGTCACATTGTGACACATTTTGTATGAGAAGTAGGCATTTCATCGAGAATGTTTCTTCTTTATTTTCACCATCTCATCGCGTGAAGCTGGTCACCCGGAGAGGGAAAGAAACCATGAAGGCCTCGTCGAGGCCGTTTATGCACGCAACATAAACGTCATGGTTAACGGTGGTACTTCGAGATAACGGAAACGATAGGCGCCAGATCCTTTCGAGCGCTTCGATTCGTAATATATCGCGATAATTATAATTGTAATGATGATACATCATTTGGGATATAGAATCTTGATTTGCATTTTCCGAGCATTGTTTGAAGTTTAGATGAAAACAGTTTGCGAAAACAATGGAAATTTAATCGTTGTGACTGATGATTTAAAGTTATAATTGTTAAAAATTAAAAGCATATATTATATTATAACAAAAATAGTAATAATAATATTTTAAAAAATATAAAAATATTAGCTTAAAAAAGTCGACTAAATTATAATATTAAACAGTTCTTTTCATTCTTACTCGTTTCAAAATATATATCATAATATAATATATAGGAGAAAAATGATATAAAAATCTTTCTTTTATATACTAACAAATTAATTTTTTTATTTTTTCTTTAATTTTTCGTTATCAATTGACTTGTACTGAATAAAATTTTCTGTCAATTGTCGAGCCAAATTTGTATCGTTTTCCATGACGATTTCATTTTTCTCGGAACGGCATTTCACTTTCCCTCTTCGGAAGCTTCTTGATAGCGGAATACTTCTTTTATCGTAAAAGAGTTTGCATTGCAGGTTGAAATCTCGTCTATTAATTAGTTCCGCTTTGTTGAACCTGGTAATGTTTCTTCACGGGAATTTATATCTAATGATTAATTAGACAGCTCTAAAACATGCAAGCTATTGATACCGATTTGTAGTGTTCCGATTTGTACTTGATTTATTCAAGTTAAAGTACAAAATTGAATTATAATTTTAGATAATGAAAGTTTATGATTAATAAATTTACATTTTCTAATGTTGGTGATTAATTGTTGTTAACGTGACAAACATGTTCGAACATTTGTTTCCAAAATGATAATTGCACTATTATTTATTATCAAACTTAATGGAATATATTATCATTTACAAATTTAGAAAGCTGATTATTTAATAATCAAATAATAATAATTATTATAACTTAATACAGTTATCAGTTATAAATATGTAAATCTATTTTTATTAGATTTTAATGAATTAGATGTACTATTTTTAATTGAATACAAAGTAGATTTTTTTCAATAAATTTATAGAAGAAAGTTGAAAAATATGTGATTTTCAGAGCTTAAAAAAGTTGATTTTTTTCAATAAATTTATAGAAGAAAGTTGAAAAATATATGATTTTCAGAGCTTAAAAACAACGATATTCTACATATATATATATATATATATATTTTGCATAGATATATCTCGAGCTATTAATGTTGCTCAATTAAGCTCTTATCGAATCCAAAACGACTTGTACGATAAAGATTATTTTTGATACTGCATAGGTTTATTTATTAATGTATGTATAATGGGGATCAATAAAATATTTTAACGACTTTTAATTGCCGATGGCTTTTGTAAGATATTTATTAATTGAAATGTTAGTGCAATCATATAGAAAACACATTTGCATTTCTTAAAAAAAAAAAATATCTCGATACGGTTGAAGCTCGTCCTTAATTCAAGTCATGATCGAGAAATGCAAATGAAACGGTAAATAAAATCGTCAGTCGTGTATGCAAGTGCCGTTATTCCCAAGGAGACATTATACCATGGACATGGCAAACGAAGCGTTAAGCATGATTCTATTATAGTGGCCTTTCTTAGTACACGTAATCAATCGCGGAGTGTAAATATGTTATTACTGTTATCGCATTATTATTATTATTATTATTATAAGGACGTGTGTCGCCTCTTCTGTGTGAACGATGCGTAAGGAAATCCTTTGTAACGGGTGTGTTTTATGACGGTATCGTCGGTCGAGTATCTCGCGGAGCTATTAGCTAGAACTCTCGATAGACGAAACCAGGTGTGTTCTCCAGGTAGAACCTTCCTATGCGGCCCCGGAGATCGGCCAGTGACAAAGAGTGGGGAGCTCATATAAGATACCGGGCAAACGCCTCTCTCAGTGAACAGTCTCGACACGAAAACTCATCAGCCGAGCTTCCTCGGCTCACACATCGAGAACGAGAGAGTAGATTCTTTCCAGACATATATCGGGATATTTCGCTGACTAGGGATTGACACATTTCGAGCTCAATCCGTTTCCCACGACGTTTTCTCAGAATGTCACAGCAAATCTTTGCGCTCGTCCTAGTGCTCCTGGCTGTACAGGGTGAGTCTCTTTCTGCATCTTCTTCTTCTTCTACTTCTTTAGGTTCTTCTTCGTCTCGCTTTTTTCTTACCTCGCTTCTTCGAGACTCTTAGAGATCGATTCATCGATTCGTGTTCACTGTGCAGGATGATCTTTATGTTAATCTGTTTATTGGTATAGATTCTCAATATATACACGTATTTTCAGATATTTATATAGTTCATATTTTTGCGAGATAGTTTTTTGGGGAATTTTTCGTATTTTACGTTGTCTTTTATTAATATTTTTAGCGAGTAATCTTATTAGGTCAGCTTTATTATATTTAATAAAAATTCAAATGTTCAATGGTTTTTTTGTATATAACTAATAATATAAATTAATATATGTATATATATATATAAAATGTGGAAATGAAATATGTGGATATATATATAAGATAGTCATATATAGTCATACAATGTGTTTTATAAAAAATGAATTATGATATTTATTTGATTAAAAATGAGTTATAATAAATTTTATTGCAACAACGTATTAATAATAACGTACTGATAAATCTATTTAATTATTGTGTAAAATACAGATAAGTATTTAATGAAATATATATATATTTTTGTTCTTCTTAAAAATAAGGATTATTCTTTTAGTGGATAATGGCAATCTTTTATTTTTTATTTTTATTTTTTTAATTTATTATATTTTTGATAATAATCTGGATTTAAAATAACTTAATTGTTTGTATAAAATACAATGTGTACATGTACATATCTTATAAATATTCATGTTTTTCTCCATAAAAGTAGATTGTGATAATTATCGTACTTTCTCTAATTATGAGAGATTTATATTAATCGTATGATAATAAATCATACATATGTATTTATACATACATATGAAAATCTTGACAATATTATTTAACTTTTATATTAAATAATGATATAAATATATAATTATGTAATTAAATTTATAAACTATTATCAATGACAAATTAATTATACTTAATAATAATTTATCTTGATAATAACTTTCCAAAAATTAAAAGTTTCTATCAAAAAGTATTTATAAACGATTTTATATCTCGATAATTGTCAATAAAATATTTAGTAATTATTTAAAATTGAAATAAAGAGCATATCGATCGACTTTAATAAGAGAATCGTCTTTGATCTTGATTTGATCTAACGATCGTTCGGCTTTCACTTTCGAGATCGGCACGTATGTAGCTATATTTATAAATAATAAGAGACGTTTGATGAAAAAAGCGAGTCGAGCTGAGCGAGCGAGGTGCGAGAATGAAAACGGTGAAATTTTCTCGCAGCCGTCGCCATTCACAGTGAAACTGAAAAACAGTGCGGACCGTTCTACTTTCCTTCGTGAATCTTCGCAATGATCGCGAACATTGTATCGATTAAAGCAATCTTCTCGTGTCCTACGCGAAATCCATGATAATTTACAAGAGCGATTCATTCCGTTTTCACACTCTAAATGGCCGGATTATCGCGTTTTATTCTAATGATGCTTATTGTAAATGATAAGCTTGTTTATTTTTATCATTAGAATTATTCCGTTTCTAGCTGTATATCGATGTACACAAATAGTATAAGAATCCAAGTAATCACTGTTTAATTATTCAGTTACTTACAATCTTTGATAGTGAAGGGAATTAGAGAATGAATTTATCCTATAGGATAAAATTATATAATATATAATATATATAATTATTATTTTTTTTTTTAGAAAAATATTAATAAATAAATTATATTTTATTATGTAAATTAATACTAATTTTGCGATAGTATAGGAAACTTTAGCCACAGATTCGATTAGTTTCGCACATTAAAATTACATAACTACTAATGTGATAAAGAAAATTAGATAGAATAATCGTTGAGAATTAGATAATGAGTTCGATTACAATTTTCGTTGCACAATTCTCGCGACATTCGAAGCGCAGAATCTGTAATAAGCAGCAGGTCTTCTGCTCCGTAATTATTACACGCATCTTCGTAAGAACAATAGTGGCCATTCACCGGGTTTCACACATCTCGAGAACTTTCTCTCGTGTGTCAGGAGTGAAAATATGAAAGTAGCTCAGCCTGTGCAGTTCACTCTCTTTCTCGCTCTTTCTCTCTTTCTCTCTGTTTCTCCCTGTCTTTCTTTCGATTTCATATAACGATATAATTATTTACGAACACCCTTTATAGCAAAAGCACATTCCGTATAGATCTCATTATCCACTCAAATTTCTAAAGTCTAGATTTTCAAACATGCAAAAGCATGTCAAAGTATCTCATTTTCTACTGAAGAAGAGAAACGGTATTATTTTGATTATTACTATGCACGAATTTTTATTCATAATTATATAGTTCCAAAAGTTTATTAGTTTACTATAATGAAATTAATAAAATCTTTTTTTTAATTATATTTTTTTTTTTGTTCAACGTGTTTTCAACTATATTTTTATTAATTTTTCTATATAATACTTCTTTATTATTCCATCTTCATTAGCCTAGTTTCGTTTCTATATTTTATTATTTTATCATAATTTAATATTTAAACTCTTCTCACATATTGTACTAGTTTTTACTGCTTTCTCTTCTCATTTGAATGTATAAAGAAAAAGAAAAATTTCTTTATTGCATTACATTTGATCGTGTACATTTAATTTAATTATATATTTTCTAATTATGTATAAAGTCATTCAACTTTGTTATTTTGACAAAATTTACAACACTATGATATTAGGTGATAATTATATTTTGTAATGATTTAAAATATTCTCTTCCTCTTGTCGCAATTCGAATAGATTGTGGACGATAGTGGTGTTTAAAAAAAATATAATCGCCGATAACTCAGTTCTGCAATGCTTACGCAAGAGATTCTACTTTCTACGGCGACATTTGAAGATATTAATACTTTGAAACTAATCGGTTGTAACTGCGCGTAATATTTTTGCGGCGAAAAATTTATTCATTCGTTTATTTCTTCCTGCTTCCTACGTCCGCTTTCGCGACGCCGAATCGCCAAACGTTAACGTTGACCGGTTCCGGAAGCGGTATAAAATAAGAAGAAGGCTGGGCGTTCCGCTTAGCTTCATTTGTCGATCAAACGATGCAAAAAAGCAGGCGAGGAAGAAAAGGGTCTTATTAACACGTTGCGGCGCTGTGGGCTTTTGTCAAAGAAACACGTTGCACGTAGCAAAGCCTGAGTTAAGGTGGAGCCTCGCCTCAGGCTCTACCGGTTTCGAGAAGAACCGAGAAGGCGGGCTTTGCTCATTTATTCGTTAAGAGAAGGGAATGTGGCAAGAGATTAGAAAAAACGAGAAAGAGAGCAACTCGTATTTTTGCCTGTTGTTTGACAATTTTTAGAAATAAATCAAATGTCATTTTTTTATTTAGTCTAAATAGATTTTTACGCGACACTTCGTCCGAACAAAAAATTTATCCTCTTGAAAATTTTTTTATTTCAAGTCTGCTAGTGTGATACTTATCAATGAAAAATTTATCTAAAAACAAAATAAATATTAATTACAATATTTATGAATAAACTGAAATCTGTCAAAAAGATTGCAAAACAAAGTTAGTGTAATTCAAAAATATTAATTTAAATTTTTTTCAAATCAATCACAGGCCTAGTTTTATTCTTCAATCATTTTTGTCCCGAAAAAAATTATACTTTATAAATGAAAGCAAGGAAAAATTATAAAGGAAAAGTAATTGAATAAAATTTCATTTAATTAATAATTAAAATTTTCTTTGCAAACTAGAATATATATATATATATGCATCTTTATTATAATTTAACATAATTTTTCGAAATCGATAAACTCTCATTGTTTTTCTTGTTCGTTCCAATAAATGGCTATCATTATGAGAATTTCTCCTGATAAAAAGTCGATTCTTCGTAAATCTGGAAAGCGAGAAATTTTCCGAACTGTCATTCATTCGAGGCGTGTGTTTTCCGCGGAGCGTGAACTCCTAAGGTGCAAAGCGCGACCGCACCTGCTTTCAGTGACGAGGAGAGTAACGGCCGCCGAGCCATTACTACTCACACACTACTTACTCTTTACGAGGAGTCTTAAAGGAAGGGAAAGTAACCGCGTGTTAACTAAGCGTCTCGCTTGCATAATCCGCTACGACAACGTTCCAGGGATGTCTCCACCTTATTCGCGCTGCCGCGCCGTGACGACCGCCCGCGCAAAATCGATTAATCGCGCCGGTTTCGCGAGACTAATCGGATTTATTTTTCGTCGCTCTTCGTGCGCGAGATGCGCCCTTACGGGTGGTCACGGGCTCTTATTACTGGTTCTTGGCATTTGCATAATTCTTCGTAATCGTATCAATCAGTACATCGCAGTCATCAACATCATTGATTTAATGAGAATTTTATGTAATGCATATTTTTAAATTAATAATATTAGAGAAGTGCAAATAGATAGCATTTATATATTATTAAAATATACATTAAAATATATTAGTACACAAATTTTTTAATAGAAGAGACAAAATAAAAATATATTTAATAATATTAGAGAAGTGCAAATAGATAATATTTATATATTATTAAAATATACATTAAAATATATTAGTACACAAATTTTTTAATAGAAGAAACAAAATAAAAATATATTTAATAATATTAGAGAAGTGCAAATAGATAGTATTTATATATATTATTAAAATATACATTAAAATATATTAGTACACAAATTTTTTAATAGAAGAAACAAAATAAAAATATATTTTTATAATGAATAAGTATAGACTAAATAAAGCATCTTTTTAAATTACAATGATGTCATCGAGTGCTATATTTGTTCATTCTAAATAGTATTACGGTGTTTCTTGATAATTAAGGCCACGATTTTACGCAATTCCTGCCTGGTGGAAAATCGCAATCTTTAGACGTTCTTTCTCAAGACGGGCGAAGCTCGCTTCCCCACGAGATTATCCGTATCGTGAGATCGATCGTGCTTGGCTTTCCTTCCCTTATCTGTTCGGACCAGTTGGCTAACAGCGTGCAATCTTTTCGCGAATAAAGGCCCGTAACACGAATGCATTTATAGTATATTAATCGATCTCTGACATGTAATTATCATCGAGATTGTCATATTGTTTCATAGAAATCGCGATCGTAGCTTTATTTTTTTATTTCTACATTTTTGCAAGTTTGAAACATTTTTTGAAGATCAAAAAAGAGTTTTATCTTGTTTCTAAATGCACATTTTTGATGAACTTTTATAATCAAAGGCTACTATCATAACATACATTGACGTATTTCAAGCATTACACGATTAGAATTACTTTAAGAATGTAATCAGGATTGAGACGAAAATAAAGAATTTGAAACGTGATATCATTAGGAGTTTCTTGCGAAATGATCTTAGAGATACGATCGTGACTTCTCATCTCGCTTCGAGCACTGAGAAATAATACCTGTCGAAGATTTTGGTCGGTCGCTCTTTGAAGATATCTTATTTTCATCTCAATCTCGATCTACGATTGAAACGGGGTGGTTAAACAAGAGTGAGGGCTTCATTTCGTTTCCAGATTAAATCTTTCGAGAGTGAGCAGGCGGTACAATGTAGCATACTCAAGTGCTGAAAAAGAGACTAAGAAAAAAGAGAGAGAAATAGATAAGATTGAAATTCTTGGCCACAAGATTGATCATATTGAGACAATTAGGAATTCGTGCTTGTGTTTTATCAAACAAAATGAGTAGAATTAATAGCCTTTTTTATTCGAGAATTTAAAATCAATTCTCGTCGCCGCAAGAAATTTTATAACTAATTTTATAATTAGTTTTTATATTACAATATTATATTAAATTTAAAAAATTTGACACTACAAAATATACAAAAAATAAAGAAATTAAATTGAGAAAAATAAAGAGGAGTTCGAATCTTTTGAATCGAGACCTGAAATGACAGAATGACATTAGACGAGTCAAGTGGTCGATGAAATCTTTTGTGCACTCTAAGGGGTCCAGAAAGGTGGAGCAGGGGTGTGGAACAGGACTGCCCCCGAAGGTTGCAAGTCAAGGCTAGGCACTTTCACTCGAGAGCCGTCTTGGGAGCGCGTTTCATGCCGGCTTCCCACCTTATTTTACTATTTGCTTTTCCGACGAACGTGCGCGGGCCGAATCATTAGCGAAACGATCGGACATTATAATAAACTGGTACCAATATTGTATGCATAAAAGTTCGAGAACGAAAAGTTCGTGATCGAAAGTCGAACGGTGATCTTAGTGCAATTTTTATTTTATTCGAATTGAAAATATAAAAAAATGAATTATTAGGGTCTTTATAATATTCTTTGAAGCTACAGAAAAATATATCGAATTTTTTCAAACGCTTATATAAGTTCAAACATTCCTTTTAATCTTCTGAAACAATTTACGACACTCTTCCGGTATAAAATGCGATAGTAAAAACAATATTGCTATATATCTTCACGGAACAGAAATATTACGAATAAAAATCTCTAGAAAAGACGACGTCATCGGCGTCTGGTTTTAACTTTCCACTTTCAATGTGTAAACAATCTTGTGCAAGGAGTCACGCATAATTACCTGCGAATCGGCGAAAGAAATTGATGACATCATATCTTGTTGGGAATATTAAGCATACTTCGATGCGGAAGAGGGATATGCATTCCAAGTATTTCTCATCGGTTAGTCGAGTATCCTTGAACAACGATGTCATTCTGCGCGCAAGGATATGGGCATCGTTTCATCTTGACTTTCGAATTGACTTAACAGATTTCGACTTGAAAACTGCACGCGTGAATAAAATCAACATTATACACTCAGGTATATCCTTGATATTCGCCTCGCCACTTAGTGTCCTTCGACGAGAACACGCGCAGGTGAAAATTATCATTTCGATACGTCAGTCTCGTGCTCCGATATTTCGTAATCGCGGCTCATTCAGAACACGCGAACGAGAGGGAAAGGAGAAGATAATTAACGCGGATTCGGAGAGGATAATGACGCGATAAATTGACAGCAAAGCTCATTAAGAAGGATAATTAGTATTCTAGTTCGATTAACGTCGAGAAAGCAGAAAAGTAGATAGATAGAGGAAATATTTTTAATAATCAGCCTAATTATCGTGCTTAATTAAGCACTCGTATATATAAGAGGAAAAGAAAACTAACATCTTGCACAAAAAAATTCAGCTTAGTCAGAAATAATCATTTTAATTTTCCTGAATAATCTGATTTCCTTTCCATCCGAAGAGGGTCCGAATCCTGAGAAGAATAAACAGGAATAAAGAAGTTCAAAGGAAATATTTTAATAGTCTATTTTATCGTCTTTAATGAAGCACTCGTATATATAAGAGGAAGAGGAAACTAACATCTTGCACAAAAAAGTTCAGCTTGGTCAGAAATAATTATCCTAATTTTCCTAAATAATCTGGCTTCCTTACCGTCATTCTGATCACTTTAAAGAATCCTATCCTGAAAAGAATAAAGAATAAACAGGAATAGAGAAACTCAAAGGAAACATTTTAATAGTCGACCTAATTATCCTTAGTGAAGCACTCGTATACATAAGAGGAAAAGGAAACTAACATCCTGCACAAAAAAATTCAGCTTGGTCAGAAATAATTATCCTAATTTTCCTGAATAATCTGGCTTCCTTACCGCCATTCTGATCACTTTAGAGGATCCTATCCTGAGAGGAATGAAGAATAAACAGGACTAGAGAAACTCAAAGGAAACATTTTAATAGTCGACCTAATTATCCTTAGTGAAGCACTCGTATACATAAGAGGAAAAGAAAACTAACATCCTGGAAAAAAAATTGATCCTAATTCTCCTGATCAAAGGAAACATTTTAATAGTCGATCTATATATCGTCCTTAATGAAGCACTCGTATACATAAGAGGAAAAGAAAACTAACATCCTGGAAAAAAAATTGATCCTAATTCTCCTGAATAATCTGGCTTCCTTACCGTCGTCCCGATCAATCCGGAGGATCCCATCCTGAGAGGAATGAAGGATAAACCGGAATATCGCTTGCAGGCTCGCTGGGCCAGAAGCAGGAGGATCCGTGCCAGACGAAGTCGCGCGTGGTGGGCGACATCGAGTATTGCGATCGCTATTGGGAATGCGTGAATGGTCGACCGGAGCTGTTCGATTGTCCGAACGGCCTCGTTTTCGCCGGCAAGCATCGGGGCGTCACCGAGGGCTGCGATTATCCGTGGCGGGCAAACTACTGCGACGGCAAACGCCAGGCTAATCCGCCGATCCCGACCGAGCACTGCGACTGGCTGTACGGCATCTTCGGCCACGAGACCTCCTGCACCAGGTACTGGACCTGCTGGAACGGCACCGCCACCGAACAACTCTGCATAGGCGGTCTGCTTTATAACGAGAGAGCCAGATCTTGCGACTGGCCCGAAAACGTCGAGGGATGTCAGAAGCATCGTGAGTACCGTCGTCGGACAGGAGATGGATTTTATCGGGCAATTACTTGAGATTTATTCGTTCATTTTCATCGTCAACTCTTTGAACTTTTGATTGGATTTTTATCTATTCTTGCCTAACCGGAATTGACTGCGGAATTCGCAGCTTCAATTTAATCGAAGCATCTCTGAAGATCGTCGGTGTATTTATCGATCGGTAGATTTTATCGAAGATTATTTTCACTTTCGAAAGTGGACGGGCAAGACGCGCGTTTCCTCTTCGATCTCTTCCAGGAATTAGTAGTACTTCGAAGAAAAAGGGGCGAGGCATTTAATTAGCATTTTATTAGCATAAGTGAATTCTCGTCGCGCCTTTCTGCCTCTCTTCGCCCTCAGAACTTTAGATGAAACGCTTATTATTAGTTCGCGATAACTCTTTGATCTTTAATATCAAATATCGCTCGACGCATCATAGGCAAAAGATTATATTTTATAATTATATAATATATTGTATATTTTTTCCTAATTGATATTGATATTCAATTAATAATTAGTAAAAAGGTCTTGATGTTTCGGGACTATTTTAGAAGTTTCAGAAAGAACGTAGTAATAACTTCCACTTATTCTTAAAGAAAAAGGAGATCCACGAATGTAGATGCGTGTTTACACTCTGCATAATTAAATGTCAAGTCAGTCCATTATTAGCGGATCGAATCCAAACGAAAGTTCTCCACTTTCACTCGTTGACCGCGGCCAATTCGCAACGAAGAAATTCATTATAAAATCGCTCGATGAGAGTTCGCAACGTGCATATATTTTTCAAACACCTTAGCTTAAATTTTAAGCAGATGGAAATTACGTACACAGGGTGTCTAGCGGTCAGGGAATTTTATAAATCTGGAATTGTCAGGGAAAAGTCAGGAAATTTTACTATTTATCTGGATTTTTTCACATTATTCTACATTTGTCTCAATAATTTGAATTTTTTTATTAAATAAATATAAACTTTTCCTTGACTCCCAGCACGCTAATTTTCTGTGTTGTTAAAAATCGATTCATCTACAGCCTGTTCGTTCATTTATATTTTCATTGTCGTGTTATTTTATTTCAATGTGTTTGATAAAGATAAAACTAAAAAATTTGATATAATATAAATAGAAAAGGTGATTACTTAAATAGTTTATAATGACACATTAGTTTCGATTATCGTACATAATGCAGATTGTATAATTAATTAAAATTTTTTAACTTCCAAACCTTTTCATTGTTGACAAAAATATCTCAAGGATTTCACGATTTAACATTGAATTGATTTATCATATAGATATATGCAAATTATATATTTGGAAAAAATAATACTAAAAAGTCAGGGAAAAAAAATGAATTTCTGGTTTTGGAAAATCTCAAAAAAGTGAGAGATTTTTGTTCATTTCGTCTGCTGGACACCCTGGTACTAGCCCCTCGAAGGCTAGGGAAATCTAGATCTGTAGCTCGGCGTAAGACGCAGCCTGCTTCCAGCTCTTTGCAACGACGACGCCAACGGCAACGTGCCTCTCGGCAAGTCGTGCAACCGCTACTGGCAGTGCCAGGGTGGCTACCCGCGGCTGCAGCGCTGCCCGGCCATGCTGGTGTTTGACAGGAGGTCGCTGAGGTGCGTGGTGCCGCCGACGGAGGACTGCGACGTTCCCACGACGCCGCCGCCCACTGAGGGCGAATTGTCCGAGGGTCGCAACGAGCAGCAGGAACCGGAAGAGGAGAATCTGCCACCTGGCGTGCCGCCTCTGCCGGCGGGCGCGTTGCCGATTCAATTGCGCGCTCGAGCCCGAAATTAAAAACGGCGATCCGGAACGATTCGGATAACGTCCAACCACCAGGAAGGACGAAGGAAATCAGGTGTCATCCCTTGCGCGACGAGCGAGATCCCGGAGATCGAACTCGTCGATGGTCGGTCGGTTGGAAGAAGTCTTTCTCTATTGATCTCGAGTTTCTCCAGAGATCTTTTTCTCTCTTCTGTAATTCTGTTATTTTAGAGGTCTATTGGTTGGTATCGAATTCGAGATTTTTTATAAGTTTGTAGATTTAATGTGTTGAAATTAGCCTCGATATTGGAGATTAATGTTCCATGATTCCTTGAGAATGTCGAGAAAGTTTTGTCCTCTTTTGTAATAAATAAAGGTTTTATTTTATTTTATTTTTTTTATTTTATCTCTCTTTTGTTACTATGAAAATTTATTTGTGTAATTATGAAGTATAAATTCAAGCAGTAAAGTTTGAGTATAATTATATATGCTTTAGTTCTTTTTATAATTCTCTCTTTTTATGAAGAAGCAAACAATTGATTTTTATTATTTTATAGTTGAAATATGCATATATGTATATGTAATGAAATAATTAATTAAATGATTATGTTAATTTGGGATATATGAGATAAGTGAAATAATTAAAAAAAGCTCTTGAGAAACAGAATAAAATTTCTTAAAATATATAAGTTAATTGAAATTAATATAAATCAAATTCAAATACGAAATAAAAATTGATTTCAAAAATTTCCAGGGATATACAAGTTTGATGAGAGAATAACAAGATGTTGCATAAATATAGGAAATTATTAGAATTACTAAAGAATGTAGAATATCTCCAAGGATCGAGATTCGTCAATCTATCCATATCTTTGACCGATCAGGATCCCCCGCCTTCCGAAAATACGGAGAGATTCGTATTATTAATTAATAATAACGTTCATTACGAACATCTCGTTTTTCCGTTCCAGGATCGTTCACCATTCGCATTCTGTCACATTGATCGAGATGTAAATATCTTTCCCTCACTCTTCCCTTTCCCTCTCGCATAATCGTAAGACTTGTATCATTTATATGTAGATCGATTGCAATAAACTGTGCGTTGTATATTTTTTATACACATGTTCAGATTTTATTCTACAAGTTGCCGGGCTGTACATTATTCTATTTATCATAAATACATACACATTGTATTATATACTATATGTATTACATATCGTATTTGTCCTTCACGAGCTATACATGCAATTAAGTAGTTCTCTTTAAACATTTATTATTAATAATAATAATTTATGTTTCATACTTTCTATCGTCTATTGGCAACGTTCAACAAAAATGAAAAAATGTTTATTTTTTATTTCACCTTGTTAATTATACGTTTACTTGATTATATGTTTTATTCATTTTTTCGAATTATTTTCTGCCTATAAACAAGTGTGCGGCTAATTAATAAATAATGTCTCGTGATTTATTTTTATAATTTTCTTTATTTTTATAATTAATTTTTTGTTTTTCTCATTTTCAAAAAAATAATCTTGTCCTGTAATGATTAAATTTTTTATAATATAAAATTTGTATCTTGTACGCATTTGTACATTTTAATTTTACATATAAATCTCAGGCTAATATTACGTTATGCTTTTATATATCACCAAGATAATTTTTAATTTTTAATTGGTCGTCAAATGTATAGTTTTTTATTGTTTGATGTTTGTTGTCTTTTGTCGTCATTTCTTGATTTATGATACCAGGATTGATTGTCAGGAACGTTTTTATTTTTAAACACCACTAGAACTGAAAAAAGACATAAATACATACTTAAAAAATTAAGATATTTTTTCTACATATTTTTTTGTTTAGCAATAGTAAAAATTAACTGATAATTTTTAAATTAATTAAAAATCGAAATAATTTACGATCTTGACTTTTAAAAATGCAAAATATACAAACCAGTGAGGAACTTCTTCTGGGTCCAGGCAAGTTAAGCTCACTGAGTCGAATAATTTTCCATCTCCGCAAGTGAGAAGTCGCGGATTACCGTCCACGCAGGTAATCAGTCTTCCACAATCACCTGGTACAGGGAATCTAAAAATTGCAAACACGAAAAATACTCATTTTTTTACTGCATTAAAAATATAATTAAATATATTTGCAATTCTAGAGCTGAAAAATAATAGTAAATTATAGAAAAAGAATGTCCTTATTTTTCTAGTTTAAACAACATTCTCGCTAATTCTTAAAATGTCTGGCATACAAAACATCCCATTGAATTTATTGGCATAGAGAATATAAAGACTATAAGGATAAAAATAAAAATTTTAAATATATAACAGCGATTTTGTGTCATACATTGAGACGAGCATCAGTCGATTGAGAAAAAGCTAACAAGAGCTTTTTATTATTATTGTTCGTTATTGTCTAAAACTATATATTGCCATATTTGAGAGAAAATTAAATATTTGAATAAAATGCGTGATGTTGGCGTTCATCACGTATGTTTCTCTCTCTCTTTTTTCTCTTTCTCTTGCTCCCAGTCTCTTTTTGGAAGGCGACCGGTTCTTAAATCGAGATACTACGCATAAACGCGAACGGTCTGACATTTAACGGCATTGACTCTTTTTACTCGTACTCTTATAATCTTTCGGTGGTTCGCAGTATTTCCTTTCTACGAATCTTTCACATAATAAAAAAAAAAAAGAAAAAGAGACGTGATAAAAGATCGAGATAAAGATTTTTATTACATCCTGCGACTGTAGTAAAAGATTGCACGCATAAATCGATAAACGTGTAACCAGACATTATACAGGAATCATTCGTTGAAATCTGATATAAATGTTTTGCAGGAGAAAATAATGTGCGCCCGGGGTGCATCGGTCCCGATTTTATTTCCGCGTGATTTCTCGGAAGTGTGTCTTTCGTACAATGAAATACATTACCTCGGGTAGGGCCAGAACTTAGCAGCGGGACTGTTGTGGGGTAACTTGTGCGGACACTTGAAGCCTACTATAGTCTCGGGGTTGCAGAAGGGGATGAGCTCGTCAGGCCAGACACACGTGTGGGTTTTGGCATTGTAAGCCAGACCTGGGTCACAATGAGCCTGATGCGGTTCGCCATAAACGCACTTGATATAACTGGTGCTACAGCTGTCACTCTCCGGGTACATGCCGAATTGATACTCGCAACCCGGACTTCCAATAGGCGTATCTGCGACAAAATTGCCGGTAGATTATTATTATTATCTGATAGGATAGAAAACTGCAAGGTGGATTTGAAAATAAATTAAATAAGAACGTAGATATTTGAGAATCGCCAGACAGAATTTAAAAAAAGGTAAAATTCTTTTCTCAACCGTACTGGCAAATATTATTTATTCAATCACAACGTTTCGACCCTTCTTTGAGTCCTTATCAAGTGATCTAGATATACATAGACAGAGATTAATACAATAAAAAAAAACAAAATTACTTCACTAACAATATACAAAATGATAAAAAGAAAAAGAAGCGAAACATACTTGTAAAAATAAAAATAAAATTATAATTTTAAGATGTCAAGAACGAACATAGTGTCGGTTTGACAACACGTCAAGACTCTTAGACGAGTTATTGGAGACGGAATAAATTAAATGTATATTATTTAATAAAAGAAAAGAAATTCTCTAAATTGTATTATAATAATAAAAGTAACGGATGTTGAAAAGGATTTTCTCTCTACCTCAGACATGTTTCCAACAACATTTCAAATTAGCTCTATTATTCTAGTTTTATTTATATTGTATAGAGCAAAATACATTTATACTGATGATTGAGAATATATAAAATTGAAAACTGGAAAGTCACGCAATTATATCGAAACGTTGAATTGATTGAGAGATATTGCCATCCAAAGAGATTTGCTTGAAGGCAAAATTATGATGATTGGCGTTAACGCGACCTACTAAACCGCCGCCAAAATCGTTCGTTTCTCACGACTTTTACTTTCACAACAATATTTCCTTCATACGAGCAATGCATGATTTTTATTTTCACATATAATAAATTACATGGTTTGGACGAAAAATTAATGATGTGAAAAAATAATGCAAATAATATTAATATTCCTGACATGTATAATTGTAACAATCAAATTTTGTATACATCAACTTTATTTTTATTTTATTTAATCGTCGTCTTATTTTTTATTTGTTTTGTCATTTTTATTTTTATTTTACTACATTGTATATTATTATTTCAGACAACATTTCGATTACATCATTAATTTTTCTCTCATTGTCAAATGAAGTGGATAAAATTTTAATGTTAATAAATAATGGATAAATAATGGGTTTACACGAATAACTGGTAATGTAATACTTACAATCGGCCTTACGATTGCCGCAATCGACAGCCCAATTATAATTGCAATGATTGTGAACATCACCGTGTCCGTCGAACAGAAGTCCGTTTTCGCAATACTCGTAGCTTAGGGTACCGTTCGTACATAAAAAGAAGGCTCCACAGTCTTCAGGATGAGCGTAAGCATGAATTCCGTAAGGATCAGGACATGATGGGGCATTGAATAAAGCGATGCCCTGAACTGCAAAATAAAACAAAGTTTTTTCGTCACAAAGACAAATCATTCTTAATTGATAATAAAGTTCCATTTTTTTAATGGTAATTTAAATAATGTTAATATTGAGTTTACACCAATATTTTGTACGCTATATTGTTTATATTATTTAAAATATGATATAATTTAATATAGCATTATAAAGTGAATAATTTGTTATGATACATATCACGTATTAATTGAACTGTGGATACAAGTATTTTCAAATTTAACTTTTATATTTACCATATATACATTTTGATAAAAATTTTTATATTTATATATACAAATAGATAGTTGATAGTTGAAACAAATAGAAAAGCGGAACTGAAATATATTTCATTACAACATGCAGACGAGACATGAACAAATATAGGAAAATTATATACTTTCTCTGAAACTATAACCAGTTGTTTAAAAAAAGTTAATTCCTTGTTTCATGAACAATGACAGTAAAAATTTGTGCCGATAAAAAACGAGATTTCCTCGATCAAGTTTGGTCGACTCGATCGTTTTTGATTCAGAAATACATGATTCGCATGACGGCTTCGGGAATGTCCGCTTTTCCAAACTTTTCCAATAAAGTGAAACGAAGTGTAACCAACACCGTACATTTAGAAATGCAAAAGAAATATGACAAATCAAGTCTGCTATAACCACGCAGAACCGATTTACGAGAAAAATAGATTTTTCTACAAAGTGCGAACAGTCAAAAACTTTAATATAATATTCAAAAATAAACCGACAAACGTAAATCAAGCCACTCGAGTATTAAAGGTCTTTTTTTCGTGAAGAACTAAGATGCGAAAAAAAATTAATCCTATTTCACGGACAAAGCAGCGTCCAGATTGCAGTCTCATTATACCGTCCTAATGTCCGCCATTATGTCACACACGTCGATCTTAACATATGGTATCTCGGCGGTGAAAGCCTCGCGAGTGGGTGATGTCGCAATCCTTCGGAGTCCGCTTCTTCGGAAAGAAGAAGAAATCGCTTCGCATAGAGAGGAAGAAGAGGAGCGCATCTCGGGTGGAGATGGGACGTAAGGTGTGCGAGAGACGAGGCGAAGGTGAACCCTCGCGGATGATGGTGGTGGTGACTTACCACGTGCCAGGATCGCCAGGAGCAGCGGCACGGTCGCACTCCTCAGATAGCTCATCTTCTTCCGCACTCTCGTCGGCTTGACAGCGTCTCTGACTACTGACGGCGAAGTTGGCGATTGGCGCGCACTTTGGGTGTCGGCCTCGGTACACCTCGGGGACGGTGTCTCTCGGCTCCCTTCACTCCCTTCACCGTCTCTTGACCGAACCCCACCAGGATGTTCCCCCGGTCTTGTCGCTGGTTTGCCTACGTGTCGATCAGCGACGTCGTTTTGCTTGACGAATTGTCTGGGAATTGCGGTTGCGTTCTTCGCTGGCGAACGCGCGTCTCTTTAAGTCGAGGAATTGTTCGGGAGAAGGTAAAGTTTGGAAAGCTTTTTAGAATAGGCACAATCTAATTAAACAAATTCGCGGCAAGAGGATATTATGAATTAGGATGAGTAGGTTGATTCTGCGAAGATTGTAGAGTAAAAGACGAGGAGAAAATTTCTCGTATCCTTTAAGAAATTTATTTTATTGTCTTTAATAAAATCTGAATTTAAGGAAGACGTAATTCGAATAAAAATCTGAATAAAAAATGTTGTGCTAATTATAATACATTATAATTAGATTTAAAAAGTTAAAAACTCTATCTTGCGTAATAACGTTGTACTAAGAGATTATCATTTTTCTAAACGTTCTAATCTCTTGCGATTATCGTAATGCATCATGCATGCATAAATAATGCTAATATCAAAGCACGAGCGGCAGTTTGCACTCTCGAAATGTCTAAGGATGCAAGTCTCGAACGCGTATGATCTGCAACAACTATGTTGCACAAGTACGCTTATTATTTTTCCGTATACTTAATACCATGTAACATTTCTGCGTTCTTGATGAAGAGAACGGCAAATGTGGAATGGCTATCTTTCAACGCGCTTCGCGTCAACTGCGCAATTCAAGGAATAACGTAATTATGATAGATGTACTTGAAAGATATTGTTTTGATTAATGAAGAACTCTGACTAATTAAAAAAAAACTATAATCATAGTGAAATTTTTATTTCGGTCCAATTAATAATTGTCAAATTTAAATAATTATATTTATTCAAATTGTTCATAGAAATTATCCTAATTATGGGAAGAGAGAGTATCTTTTTCAAATTCTTTTAAATTTTTAATTATATATATATATATATATGTCCAATTTCTCTTACGCGCTTCAACTAGTAATACACTCCGCGTCGTTGCGGAGAAAAGCGAGTTTCTTGCACAATACGATAATTTAGTAAGGACATGTTGCATTGAACGGTTAATGCCAAGGTACGATCCTTCTGCGGTCCGTGACATCATCGGCCGCAATGTAATATACATACTCGCCTTTAAGTACATTGTAATCGATGAACACGTGTTATCGTACAACCGAAACGCAGACAGACGTTCTTCGTATATCATTAGCGCGGCGCAAACACGTGATTTCCTGCGCGAACACCAAGGCATGTTAGTGGGGCCTTAACCGGCCTTACGCAAGACCCATCACGCTGGTCCCGAGAAGGAGGGACCAGATTGTCGGATAGTGAAAGCAGTCGAGGCGAACCAGACAACTTGATAGATCGATCAGACATTCGGGGCTACGTTATGATGATAGTTGATAATTTCAGTGGTACTTGCTAACTTTCTACGGACAATTGTCGAAATATAATATATCATAGCAGAGTAACAACAATATGTATCTCATTTTATTTTAAATTATTTGATGTCTTCATAGAAAAAAAGAATTAACTACCATATATTTTTTAGTTTAACGGAGAATAGCTAAGAAATATTAGCTGCACCGAAAAAAATTATTTTATTCGAATAAGTATTTATTTTAATAATATTTATTTGATATAAAAAATATTTATTTGATATAAGAAAATCCTTTTCAAAACAAAATAAATATTTATTTGTTTCAAATAAATGATTCGTTTGGCAGTATTGAACTAAATATGTAATTAATTTAGTCATTTTTTTCAGTGTGTCATAGCTAAAATTTAGGCATGATAACTAAATTTTATGTGTAATATATGGACAACTAAAATTTAGCTATGGTAGCTAATTCTTTTTTTCCGTGTTGCTTTATTTCATTAGCACTTGAAACGAGAAAAATATTTTATTTTAATTTACTTAATTCGTGAGGTAATAAACCCGTTTGAAATAAAATCTTGAATCACTTTATATTTTCCAATATCTTTGTAAAACATAAAATTTTTTAAAAAATTTAATTTTTTTAATTTAAAAAAAAATTTTTATATTTTATAAAAATAATAGAAAATATAAAAGGATTCAAGAGTTATTTCAAACGGGTTTATTGCCCCATGAATCAAGTACAAATTAACCGTTAAAGTGTAACTCGCCGAGCGCATCGCGGATTATGTAAAGAGAAAGGTTGCTATCAGACGGATAAGAAGACAGGAGAAATTGTTTGTTAGCTAGGAAAACTATGTTATTTTATGGTGTACCGCGCGTAAGTCCCATCGAATCGCGAAACATGTACAGCTTGTCCTGTAATATTCGGCATTTAACAAAATACGATGAAAGTTAAGAGAGTACATTATATTATCTATATCAATTAGTAGCTATATAAAAGGATATGATATTATCTATAATGAAACTTATGTAATTTGAGATGCAATGCAATTTTATAACAGATAGGTTAATTAATTCTTATGCTGACATTTGATTTACCGAAGTGAAATCCTGTCGAAATGTATTCAAAGAGATGCAATTTCGCGAACGCATTTCGCGATGCATTCTGGAACATTGTGGGGTGAGGAGATTTTTGACGTCCGATCTCTCATGTCAGAGAAAGTCACGATTATCGTAACACGCGATAAATATTAACGATCTAAATTACACGACACGAACATATAATACAACATAAAATACAGTATAAGATGCATTTTATTATGAAAAAATTAATGCAATGACATCTACTTAATTAGCGCTTCCGAATTTCGGGATTTCTTATTTGAATGAAGTATTTTCTCTTGATGCACTTTTTATTTTAACAAAATTCTAAAACTAATATACAGTACTTTTCTATAATTAATAATTTTTTTATGTCTTGCAATATAATTTTATTTATTTTATATTTTTTATATCTTTAATATTTTGTTGTTTAAATAATTTAATATACTCACTGAATAAATTCAATATTTAATGTACTTGTTAAAAACATATATAGAGATTTTAAATTTGTAAATATTTTATTTAACAATTGAAGTATTTTGCTTGTTTGAAAAATATTGTTTAACAAATTCCGAAATATAATAAATGATCTCGTGAATTATTTAATCGCGGAATTACGAGTTTATGTGTACGCATGTTTTTACAATAAAATTCCACCTCGCGCGCATATAATCGTTAATTACATAAAATTGGACCGGTTCAAAGGCGGAGAATTTATTTAACACAAGTTGCCATATAGTTGATATTTTCTTTTCGCGGGTTAGCGACCGACGATTGCAGTGCGGATTTTCCGAAGGCAAATTCGTTTACGTAAAAGGAGAAAGGGGTAGTATATGTCGCGCGCGAGCAGAGAGAACGAAAGCGCATACACTCTCTCGTAAGGACCACGTGGCGGCATTTACGTAAGCGTGCATATCACATGCGTTTATTGTGTCCGCATTTAAAAAGATGAGTGTGTTATACATGTAGCTGCAATTACTTGCGACGCCTTCGGTCCGTCTCGTTCAGTTCTTCCGCTTGTAATAATCCTCGCTGAAATATTCAATTGCATTTCGTCATTAAGAGGTATTCCAATATTTTTCAAAATCAAAAGAGATCAAAGAAAAATTATAATCATTTTTTTCTAATAATTTTTTATTTTTTTTTTATTTTAAATTTCTTAAACATTTTAAATTTAAAAAAAATCTTTTTTTTTATTAACTGTATATCTACATGAAATATAGTTTTAACTGAAATGACAAACAATAATTATCCATATAAGCAATAATGATTATCAAAATCATGCAAATATTCTAAAATTAAACTTCAAATTATGCCAGGGAGAAAAAGAGGGAGGTCTAAAAAATAAAAATAAATAAAATAGAGAGAAAGAGGGGGATGCACTTACCATCCTGGCACATTTTCCGGTTCAGTGCACCTGAAAATTTCCTCATTGTACACAGTATCGGGGTCGCACTGGCCTTTTTGCGGTACCACGCCGTTCTTGCAGATGTAGAACTTGGCGCAGTCCTCGGGATGCGGATACGTGGGATGCGGCAGAATCCTGCCGGACGGTCCAGCAACGTCACCGTCCGGGCAGACGAAGCCGTCGTCCAGGACGTCACGTTTGACATTCTCGCATAGACGAGTGGCATCCGCCGGCCAGACGCAACTTGACATTTTCGACTCGTAGATCAGACCGGGTGGACAGGGTACCACTTGCGCTACTCCGTCGATGCAGTTGACAAAGCGGTCGCACGCGGTCGGATCCTCGTGGCTAAAGATGCCGTTTGCACGTGGACAGCCCTTGCTAGGCTGTGGCTCCTCTGAAATAATCATTGCCATAATTATTATGCAACATGCAATTTATTATATTTTTATACCAATACCATAGATTATTTTTTTTTTTACATTTTATATAGACTTTTTTAAGCTTGATATTCAGAGAATCTATAATAAAAGTAGAGTCTACATTAATTATATAAGAAATATGAAGTTTTGCATTGAATATTTAACAAGTTAAATTTAAATTTGTTATCTATTTAATTTTTCAATTAAAATTTCTTTTTGTTAGACACAAAGAATATGTGGCTCCTCTGAAATAATCATTGCCACAATTATTATGCAACATGCAATTTATTATATTTTTATACCAATACCATAGATTATTTTTTTTTTGCATTTTATATAGACTTTTTTAAGCTTGATCTTCAGAGAATCTATAATAAAAGTAGAGTCTACATTAATTATATAAGAAATATGATTTGCATTGAATATTTAACAAGTTAAATTTAAATTTGTTGTCTATTTAATTTTTCAATTAAAATTTCTTTTTGTTAGACACAAAGAATATGTGGCTCCTCTGAAATAATCATTGCCACAATTATTATGCAACATGCAATTTATTATATTTTTATACCAATACCATAGATTATTTTTTTTTTTTTTGCATTTTATATAGACTTTTTTAAGCTTGATATTCAGAGAATCTATAATAAAAGTAGAGTCCACATTAATTATATAAGAAATATGAAGTTTTGCATTGAATATTTAACAAGTTAAATTTAAATTTGTTATCTATTTAATTTTTCAATTAAAATTTCTTTTTGTTAGACACAAAGAATATGTGGCTCCTCTGAAATAATCATTGCCACAATTATTATGCAACATGCAATTTATTATATTTTTATACCAATACCATAGATTATTTTTTTTTTTTTGCATTTTATATAGACTTTTTTAAGCTTGATATTCAGAGAATCTATAATAAAAGTAGAGTCTACATTAATTATATAAGAAATATGAAGTTTTGCATTGAATATTTAACAAGTTAAATTTAAATTTGTTATCTATTTAATTTTTTAATTAAAATTTCTTTTTGTTAGACACAAAGAATATGTGGCTCCTCTGAAATAATCATTGCCACAATTATTATGCAACATGCAATTTATTATATTTTTATACCAATACCATAGATTATTTTTTTTTTTGCATTTTATATAGACTTTTTTAAGCTTGATCTTCAGAGAATCTATAATAAAAGTAGAGTCCACATTAATTATATAAGAAATATGAAGTTTTGCATTGAATATTTAACAAGTTAAATTTAAATTTGTTATCTATTTAATTTTTCAATTAAAATTTCTTTTTGTTAGACACAAAGAATATGTGGCTCCTCTGAAATAATCATTGCCACAATTATTATGCAACATGCAATTTATTATATTTTTATACCAATACCATAGATTATTTTTTTTTTTTTGCATTTTATATAGACTTTTTTAAGCTTGATCTTCAGAGAATCTATAATAAAAGTAGAGTCCACATTAATTATATAAGAAATATGAATTTTTGCATTGAATATTTAACAAGTTAAGTTTAAATTTGTTGTCTATTTAATTTTTCAATTAAAATTTTTTTTATTAGACACAAAGAATATATCTTATTATATGTGTGTATGTATAAATATTACTTATCAAAAATAGTGAAACTGATTTGACATGAATTATGTATCACTGTATATTCGAGAAAGAATGTGATTGTTCGTTCGTTGAGAAACCGGTTCGCCCCAAGTTCTATTTTCGTGACACTATCTAGTCAACTATTCTTTTAGTTTGCCGAGTTGCAAAAGCACCGGATGCAAATACAAGAAAATAAAATTAAATATAATTTTAGCATTTACATCATACTCGTATGTATATGATTCGAAAAAAAATTTCTCTGCCAAATATACATTTTTTAAGTCGAAATTCTTGACTTAATAATATTAATAATATTAATATATCTTTTTAATTAAAAATACAGACTTTTCTTTAAGTACGGAATTTTTTTTACGCACGAACCTATTTGATTATCTCGAAACATTTAATTTCGCTATTATTTTCTCCATCTGAAACGAGAATCTTAATAAGATAAAATAAAATATATATTGCGCGTAAGAAGAATTATAATAACTTTAATGAATTGAATTGCAATAATTCTATAATAAAGACCCGGGGAATGATTTGAAACTTACGCAAAAGTGTGCGATCGCCGCAAGGCACATTCGCCGGAATGTCGCAGAAGTCTTTCTTGGGATTATCATCCCTGAAGACGAGCCCATCCTTGCAAAGTCTCTCCTCGGGCTGATCGTCCACGCAGGAATAATAAAGATCGCACTGTTCCGGGTCGGGAAAGAAGCCCTTGGGCTCGGGACACCGGAACTGCGCCCAGCTCAAGGTCACGAGGGTCAGAAAGGGCAGAAGAGAGCGAAGAACCGCGCGCTTTCCCATCTTGGACATCCTGAAGGGAATCGCGAAGAAAGGTGTGAAAAATTTGTCAAACCGCTATTTTCAAGTTCTGGTCTCGAAAAGATTTTTTTTCTCTTTTTCTTCGTCCTTTTTGCCTTCTTCTTCGACTACAGCAGCGCGTCGCGACGTTGATAAAATGTGACTGCGGGCCCGAAACGGGTCCTGTTTCATTCGCTGGCAGCCTCGCCACCACTTTGGCGGGTCCTTGTTGCTGCACATTTTCCGATCCTCCCTTCTCTTAACTTCGCCCCTCTTTTTGCCGAAAGTTCTCTCTCTTTCTCTCTCTCTCTCTCTTTCTCTTTTCGATCAGACCGTAAATCTATGGCTGCCCTCTTTTCTCCCGAATCAAATGCATTCTAATGGGTGCACGAGCGTGGTTTTATTGCACTATTATCGGTACAAAACAGATATAGATTTCAGATATACACTTCCGACAACATGTTGCTGCCGTTACTACCGTTTCGTGTTTTCCCACTTACAATTAGCTTGAAACTTGCATTGCAAACGCGACTGCAGCATTACGTTTATGATATACTTGGGTGTTTAATTAATTCTAGATCGAACCGAGATATTTCCGAAAGCGGAACGGGAGAAATTTTTTCATGTATTCATCGAAACAATTATTTATTTAATAATTGTGTGAACAAAGAAGGGCTATAAGAGCTATTAAACGTAATACATTTGACAGTTGATATTAATAAAATTCATTTAAACCAAATAATAAATACATAAGAAATAAACATTTTGCCAACGTTTCGGCTGACATTTTATTTATCTAAGATTATAAGGAGCGATCACGTTAATTAATTATCTTTCTACATTTTGCAATGCTGGAAGCAAAACGAGAAAGAAACGATTTCATGTGTAGATATGTATCCGATAATTATTCGTTTAAATTAGTGCATCTCAATTACGTCCCAATTAATTACTTTCATTAACAGAACGTTAAAAATATGATCTCATGAATTTCAAAATAATGAAAATAGAAGTATAAAAACAAGAGTGATCTCAAAATCATTATTTTAATTAATTTTTGTAATTAGCATCAAAATGTGCTGTTGTAATATTAGTTTTACATTAATATATATCTTATGTTATTTAAGATTATATCTATTAGAAAGGAAGGAAACACATATCGCAATTCACGTAATCATGATCAAATTGAACATCGTTAAAAGTTGCAGAATTTAATTCTATGCTTAGATATGCAAGGTGTAAATTAAATTTTTAAAAATCTTCAGCAAGTGACATTTGCGATAAATGTTTGTGAATTGAAAAGTTGAATGAAAAAGTACCGTACATATGTAATAATTCAACCTGTCATACGAAAAAAAGAAATTAATTTTTTTTCCGTGAAAAGAAATAAATAAATTTTTGAGTTCTAAACGTGTTACGTGAATAAATAAATATTTATTTAAAGAGAACGTAATTTTATCCTAAATTGATGCAATATGAGAAAGAAAAAGAAGAGAGAGAGGTAATGGAAGATAATGAATTATAAAACGAGAAACAAGCAAGTAGTTCGGGAGAAAGTGACAGTCGGCTGATCTCATAACGAGAACGATTCAAGGCCTTTACACGATGTTCCTCGAGTATCTCGAGAACTTATAAAAAATGAAGTATTAATTATCTTCTTTCAAGAAGATTAAAACGATTTAACCACATTGTATTGTGTATCAGTTAATTAATTTTCATAATTTTACGAATAAAGTTCTTTCCCTCTTTTCTTTTATTTAATATCAATTGAATTTCATTCAAAATTGAAATTTATAATTACTTGATTTATATGGCTGAATTAAGTAATACTATTAAATTTATTAATATTTTGAATACTTTTACATGTTTTCCGCAAAAAATATAATTACAAATTACAATTACAAATTATTATTGATGTAATTGATAATTATTGATTTTTTTTATTAACGACATATTAATCAAATATTCAGGATCACCAATTTTTTTCATCAATTATATCAACTGAAAGATTTTTTATCGTGAAAAAAATTATCTTAATTTTAATTCGCTATAGTTCGTTTTAATAAATTGGAAAGGGAGGGGATCGGGACTTGATTAAAAAAAATAAAAGACATAAAGTAAAAATAATATGTATTCGAAAACATTCAAATGGCTAAACACACACAATGGAATTACTCGTTGAGCGAAGAGGGTAACACGTAATTAGAGCGAAACATGGAACGTCCCGATGCGGGACAGATGAGCACCTGATGACATTTTATGACTTATGGCTTCTTGTCGTCGTCTTTGTACCAATCCTCGCTGTAAAACAAACAACAATTAATTAAATTATTCAAGTCTTTAAATTAGGCATAAGAATTATAGAAATATAGAAGTTAATAATCAATCTAATCAATTCAAAATTATATACATATATAATTAAAATATCAAAAATTGCGCAAAGTATAATAATAATAATATAGTAATCTAAATAATAATTAAATAATATTAATTATTAATATTAATATTAATATTAATTATAATATAATATTAATATTAATATTAATATTAAATATTATTAATAATATTAATTATTAATATTAATATTAATTATTAATATTAATATTAATATTAATTATTAATATCAATATTAATATTAATTATTAATATTAATATTAATTATTATTATTTAAATAATGATTTTTTATCTATCGTTGAACGATTTCAGAATATGTGGCAATGCAATTACTTAGCTTTTGCTAATAATTCTTTATTATACATCAATATATAAATAGAAATAATAATATAAGGATTGATTCGTACCATCCAGGGACGTTTTCGGGCGCGTCGCATTTTTGTTGCTCCTCATTATAGACGGTGCCTTCACTGCAGCCTTGTTCGCGTGGTGTCACACCGTTTAAGCACACGTAGAATTTTTGGCAATCCTCGGGATGTGCAAATTTCGGATGATCGACTAACATACCCCTGCTGTCCACCTGACCCTCGCTCGGGCACTCGAAACCGTCCTGCAGTTTCTTACCCAAGACTCCGCAGCCCTGCATTATACAATTTATCTTTGTGTTAGCATCACTAATTAAATTTTTTAAGTTTAAAAAATTTTTTAAGTTTTTTAAATTAGGATTATTAGATTTTATTTGTAAATAGATTTTACTGGAGGTAAATAGAGATTTATTTATTAGAGATAAATTTCCAGTCGATATATTTTCATATATTTTTGTATATTAGCATTAGACGATGCTTTCTAGATCTTCTTTCTCTCTTTTTTGATTTTGATTTTTAATTGTTTTCTATTTTATGTAATAATAGGAAAATGTATTCTCTAATGTGCTAAATGCAGAATTAAAATTCTATTAATCACATATCTTATTAGCAGTAGAAAAGCTGTCGTACTAAGGTTTTATTATCCGTTCTTATAATTCTTAAATGAAAAAAGGAAAATACCAACGTTTTAAAATCGCATTATTAAATTTCGATAATTGGGCGAAGAAATATTTGAAATTTGTCGGAGAATCTGTAAATGTAATTGAGAGAAAGTACATACTATCTACAGATGTATTAGAGAAATGCGATGTACTTTCTCCCAATTAAAGATTTAGCGGATAAGTTCGCAGCTTCGAGTTTTGAATATGTTCTTTCAAATTTCTGTCTAAACACTCGAAAACTTTTCACATCGCGCTCTTATAAAATGTTGAAAATGTAGTTAACAAATTTTCTCTCTTCACACCAGTTAACTTGGAAGATATCGTTAATGTTTTCTTCCATAATGGCTAAACACATCAAAAATCCAAGGCCTTTTTACCTCGCGACCCGCGCTATCAGGCCACACGCAAGTTCCACTGTATTCATCAAAATGCAATCCAGTAGTGCAGGTGATCTCGATCGCCTCTCCGTCGATGCAATTGTAAAAGACGTTGCATACAGTCGGATCGGGATGTGCAAAGAAGCCGTTTCGTCGTGGACATTTCTTCGTCGGTTGCGGAGGTTCTGTTAACGAGAATCATTCGTTAAAAAATCATCCGAATTTTATTGATATATAGAAGTTTATTATTTTTCATTTATTAACACAAATATGATGTTTAACTTTTAAAACCGTGATGTGTAAAATATATCAAAAATGTCTGTATATTTTAATATATGTATAGATATATTAGAAAATACAGAGATTATTCAACTGAAATCCATTAATTAAAATTAATATTATTCTATATATCATAAATTAATTATTATTGTACATATTCATTCTCTTCCAAATATTTCTTTACGAAATATTCTAATTTTATCGATATTGTCTTACGCAATTCGAGTCGATCGCCGCAGTCGACGTTAAATACGTGGTCGCACTTGTTGACCTTGCGATTGAGAGGATCGAAGACGAGACCATCTGGACACAATTTTTCCGTGGCGTAGCCGTCATTGCATTCGTAATATTTGTCGCATTGCTTGTTGTCCTCGTATTGACCGTCCTTGTTGGGACAATTATATGCGGCGTCTGTAACATATTTTGTTGGTATTAACGTTTTGACGAGTCTTCTCCGGAAATCGCGCGGATTTGTGGGAGTGCCGGCACTTCCGGTAGTCCAAGACATTCAAAAATATCGAATTCTTCGATCGACATTATTATATTTCATCGTTATGTAATTTTGTGCGCTCGACCGCACTTATGCAACCCACCGATTGAAAGAGAACTGACATTTACGCTTTAGAAAGTTCGCTCTCTCGCACTGTCTCCGCATTTCGAGTTCTAGTTCTATTAGACATTTCTACAAAGTCCGAGCGTTGCTCTCTTTCACATTCTTCCCTCTTTCCTTGCTGTCAAAGCATAAATCATTCACTAACATGCACACATACATTTGATATTTCAAGTAGTCCAGAAATAAAATTCTCTACATGAAAAACAATATCATAAAGTATATTCTATATATATCTTTTTATAAAATAATTCACAAAATTTATTTCTCTTTTCGAGAGTTTTACTTTTGCAAACTGAAAATTTTCTATAAAAACTTTAAATTATAAAGAATAAAATAATTATGAGTAATATTTTAGAATAAAATTATATACAAGATGGCAATATAGTGATAGTTTATGATGTTGATATCATGATATATTTCACGAATTTATTTATGAAAATAATAATAATAAATCTTTTAACATCGCAAGAAATGATATAAGTTTATGGTATTTTTTTATAACAAGGCGATGCAAAAATTAATGTTTATGATTAAAAAAAAAATGATTCGTTTTTCCTTGTTTGATAATTCAATAACTGATACTCACGTGACAACACGATCACGCTTAGCAACGTGACAATTCCGGCCGTAAGCATTCTTCCGGTCTTATGCTTTTCTGTCGCGAGATGATCCTAGACTGCACTGAGATTCACTATAACGGACGTACGAAAATATTAGGCTATCTAATTTTTGGTCCCTCTTTGGAATGACGTTGCTCTCGCGAAACTGCAGTTCTTCGGCTACTCGCCGGCTGGCTATACCCTATGGATCCCCACTTATCAGACAAATCCCACTTTCGCCGTCACATTTCATCGACGGACACCGGCCGAGAATGAAAATCGAGGTGACCAGAGAGGGAAGAGAAACGAGAGTGAGAGAAGATACATTTTTAACTTCACTGTCTCTCTTCCTCCTTTCGGCGCTCTCACCTCGACGTCCTTCGTCGCGTTTTTCTTCAAGGAGAAAAATGTCAATCGCAATACACCCGACATTGACGAATAAATGGCCGGAAGTAGCGTTAAGATAAATCCCAATAAATGAAAAAAAAAATTAATTTTGCCAATATTTCAATTACACTATTTTTCCACGGGGATTTTGTTAATTTTTTACAAGTCAAATAGACAAACGGTAAACACTTTATTATACTAATGGAAATAAAAAAAAGGATTTTATCTTTTTATATTATTTTCCTGTAACATTTCGAAAAATCAAAAACGCAAGATATGAAGAGAAAGAACATTTCTAAGATCTGAAAAAGCATTAATATTTGAAAATTTCCTTCCATTTCTAACGACTATAAAAGGAAGGCTATTATAAACTACGCATCGTTGATTGCGGTTGACCAGGAAACAGTCTTTTGTTAGACTTTCTTCTTTTATAATTACTGTTTAACATTCACCTTCACTCTCGCTTTGATTGTTCGGAAAAAACTGAGACACTCTTATTATTGTCTGTTAGCCGAGATATTACTCGAGAAAATTGTTAGTGTTACACTAAAACATTAACAATAAATTGGAGCTACATGCGCATCTATGAAGTTTAATAATAATTTTTAATGTCAAAAATTTTGCATGTGTAAAATGTCAAAAAAGTAGAAAATTTTATGCAACATTTTTTAAACATGTTTTACAAGATATATAATACGAGATATAAAAATATAAAATATGAATTTTAATTATTTGCTTATTTTACATCTTTTTCCATTACTTTTAATTATTGCTTAGTATCTTATTTATTAAAAAATTATATAATGAAAACCAAATTGGACAATTTTGTTTTTCCTGTATTTCTCTCCTTTGTTTCAATATTAACATATAAACATATAAACTCTGTGTTCCTCATTAAGTTAATCATATCGATTAGAAACTTTACATACTTATTTTAATTATTTTATGTAAGATGTAGAATTAGTAATTTTTGATGGGATATATATCGTAACTATAATATTTTATTGCAACGATAATATTTATTGCAGCTATAATATTGCATTTAATGTGTTTTAACATTGCATCGGGTTTTTTTTGAAATGTAAATGCTCTTCCTGTTTTGCTCTCTACAATATTTTTCCATGGGAAAATGAAAATTGTAATGATTTGGTTAAAGTGTATGAGATTTTATCTTATCTTAATTATATGCTAATGAAACAAGTACAGAATTAAATTTTATTTTATAAAAAGTTAATAAGATAATATATACTATATAATAATAAAATTATATTCCATTTAATATTTATTGTTACGTTTAACATTGGTTTTTATAAGTATTTCCTTGTCCATGACATTTCGCTCGCAATTAATGTCAATGATTTAACATGCTCTTCGGTTTACGTAAATAATTTTCATCTCACTATCCTTTGTGCTCTAACGATTGCTGGATTTCGGAAACGTTTCCAATGCGAGAAATGCAAGGAACGTCAGTCAATATTGCACTTTCACTGGTCGCGCAAATTCAACACACGATCGGAATTTATTTATTTACGGAAGAATTCCGAATTTCTTGATTTTATTATAATCCAAAGGCAAATGCATTTATTAGCGGAATATCGATTTTATAAGAGAAAGAAATAGAAAAATATTTTGAAATCGAAAAAGTAAATTTCTTGAGATAAAATATTATAAATATAATAATAATTATTTTTATAGACAGACAAAAATATAATTATTTGCGAAAAATATAATTAATTTTTATATATAATTGATTTCAATAAGGACTTTGAATAAAAAATAATCTTTGTGTGTGTGTTACAATTATAATTAATATATTTTAAATAGTTGCAGTGCGAAGATCATGATTTTTTAAAATAAATTATTTAAAAAATGTAGGATTTAAGATTTTATTTTTAAGGATTTAAGAACTTATATAGTAAAGAGTTTAATAAGTTTATTGTACAACGAAGCGTTTAAAGGTGAAAAAACTTAAAAACCTATACAAATATGATCTAAGGACATAATACTCTACTCTTAATTTGTGTGTGTGGGCCTGTTGCCTTTTCTTCTACTTGGTCCACCAGTAGGTTTAGGCTTCGGTGGTGGATTTTCCAAGGCGTCTAGTTGTTCATCAGTCAGCTGATCTTTATACCAGTCTTTGCTGTAATTTAATTGTATATATATTTATTTATTATATACGCCTATATATAATTAATTATGTGCGCTATTTTTAGCGATAAAAAATGAGAAATATATACACATGCACGGAGAGAATTTTCTTTTAGAATTTACTCTGAAAATCGTGGTAATAGGATAATATGATGTTGGAAGAATTTTATAAGAGTTTGTCTGATTAATATTTACCACAATAAAAAATATTAATATATATGTACATAGTCAAATTAATCGAGTATATTTTATATCTTATTGTGATAGATAATAATATTTTTATTGTGGTAAATATTAATGAGAAAAACTCTTATAAAATTCTTGCAATACCATATTGTCCCACGATTAGGATGATTTTCGAAGTAAATTTGAAGAGAAAATTCTCTTGGACTTAAAATTATCGCACATCACATAAAGTTTAGGATCATCTGTTCTCGTCACTTGACGTGAAAGTGAAATTCTGTAGAATATCTAATTCGTGTACCATTCGGGTATCTTCCTGGCCCAGTCGCATTTCCCGGTGCGCTCGTCGAACGCCTGGCCGAGCTTGCATCCGCTTCTCCTCGGTATTTCACCGTTGACGCATACGTAGAAGTACTGACAGTCCTCGGTGTCGGGATAACGTGGATGCGTTGCGGCCACGCTATCGTCGACCTTCGGGCAGGTGAAATTGAAGAGCTCGCGAGAACCGCAACCCTTCTTCTGCGCCTCGTCCGGCCAATTGCAAATGCCGGTTTTCTCGGAAAACACCAGACCGTCCGGACAAGTGATCATGTTGAACTTGCCCTCTACGCAGTAGTAGAAGGTGTTGCAATTTCTAGCGTCCTCGTGAGCGAAGTAGCCGTGCATACGGGGACAGTGTGGCGATGGTTGTGGCTTTTCTGTCAGGTGGAGAAATATATAGTAATAAAATAGTAGTTCTCTAATAGAGATACATTTTTTAAATGTATTTATTAAATTAATTTAAAAAATGTATCTATGTAATAAATACATTTAAAAAATGTTAAATGTAATGTTAAATTAATTTAAAAAATGTATCTATGTAATAAATACATTTAAAAAATGTATTTGTTACATAGATACATTTAAAAAATAGAAATAGGATAAATATTTATAAATAAGATACATTTTTTAAAATATATAGAAATAGGATAAATAGTAGTTTTCTAATAAAGATAATTTTTTTTTAAGTATGATGAGTGAATTAAATTTTTATAATTTGTATAATAAGTGTGTTGATCTATTTCGCAAATGATTATATATTATAAAAAATAAAGTGGCTCGCAGCTTACGTAATTTAGGCCTCTTCGAGCAATCGATACCAAACGGCAGATCGCACTTCTCGTGTTGCGGGCTGAAATCATTGAAGACCAGACCATCCGGGCAGAGTTTTTCCGTTATTTTGTTGTCTCGACAGTCGTAATACTTGTCGCATTGTTCCGCGTCAGGAAAATAACCATTAGGTTCAGGACACTGATCCACGAGCTCTTCATCATCTTCATATTCCTCTGTGGTCGATTGCTGTTTCTTCGTCAATGTCGCCAAAGAAGCCCTTCGGCGATTCTGCTCAGCAGCTTCTTGCTTTCTTGACAGAGCAGTAACGGCTCCTGGGAGGAAAACAAGAATAAACAAATTATATCATTTAAAAGATATATCACGGAACAATGAGAAATTGCTCGAGATGTTTAAAATTATTTTTTAATGCTACTTTATTTTAGTATGCCGAAAAATTAGAATGTAATCCATGTGATTTGCATTATTGTTTGTACTATTTTTATTGCAATTGAGGTAGATATATTATTATCTCTTAAAAATTAATGGTACGTATAAAATTAGCCAAAAAATTAATATAAAATTATATAGTTTAGAGAACTATCATTGATTAAAATTTTTCATATGTTCTCCAAATGGTTTGAATTCGTTGACTGCTTTGTGTCACACGTTCAGTGAAGAAAAAAATAATAGATATATTATTATCTCTTAAAAATTAATGGTACGTATAAAATTAGCCAAAAAATTGATATAAAATTTTATAGTATAGAGAACCATCATTGATTAAAATTTTTCATATGTTCTCCAAGTGGTTTGAATTCGTTGACTGCTTTGTGTCAGAAGTTCAGTGAAGAAAAAAATAAGGGGGAGTTGAGAAAGAAAAAAGAATATGAATGTTAAGGCAGAGGGTCGACTGGTCTCTTGGCGCATTTTCAAGGCGGCACATCGTCTGCGTCCCTGAAGAAACGCCGGTCGACCTCGCGAGCTCGAGCGAAGAAAGCGAGAAAGTGGCCGAGCTTCCATATGTACACTCGATCGCCCAGAAACTTTAATGTCGCTCAATCGGTTCAGCCTGATGGCTTTCGAACGTGGCAGATTTCAACTCGACAAACGCTCGTAATCAAGTAATAATAGTAAGTGAACAATCCTGAATAGACGCGTCTACTTTCAAAAATCTCTTTTTTTTCGTATCCTTTTATTTTTCATTAAATTACATTAAAAAATCTTGAAGCTATTTTAAAATTATTTGATCAATAATATAAGATACACCTAAATAAAATAAAAATAATACAAAATATAAATAGAAAGTATATTGTTTGTTATCTTAATATATAATATGTAATAATATATTTTATAATATATATTATCTATATATATAAATATTAACATTGTTTTCTGTTACTATTAATTTTTATTGTAATTTAAAATTATATTTATTAGATATATAAATAAATATACGTGAAATGATTTATAACTTTTTATCAATATATATGTTTTACATAAAGCACATGCTAAAAAATGTTTTCTTTCATATTGTGCAAATTTCAATTAAAATTATCAAATAATTAAAGATAAAAAAGAAAGACACAATCTCTTATATTTTGCAGAGAGAGAAGTAAACAAATGTTATTATAATACTTTTATGTAACCGATTATAACAAGAAAAAGAAATTTAAATAGTTACAAAAAATTTAGGTTTGTTTCAAATTTTGTTTTAACAATACATAATATAATACATATCAAGAGTTTGATTTAACTTGATGGCATAAATCATTATAAGAGCTCACCGAGGCAAATTAAAAGAAAAAGAATCTCCGTCTTCATCCTGACGAAGGATGACGTTGATATGGGAGAAAGAGAAAGAGTGACGTCACTTTTGTGTGATGATCCAGTCGTGGTAACGCGGTTGAATTGATGACTAGAGGCTACTGGGCCCTGTTGGACAGTCGTCGGGGCCTTATATACGTCTCCCACTTTACTTTCCATGAGGTTACAACACTTGGTGACTACATAGAATTCTATGAAGAACTGCCAATCTTTTATACATACACATACGTGTTTGCTAGTGCATTCAACTTCTAATGCGCTAATCATTTTTCAGATTATCTTGAATTCTATATTATATACAAATTATACACTGGCCAATATTTCGTCGACTATATTTTTACTGACATCGAGTTTAATTCAATAGTAGCCCTCTAAATAAACATTTATATGCACTAATTTTTGTACATCGTACATCAATGTATAACAATGCGTGTTCGTAAAATATTTCGCGAAATTTTGATGATGTCGACAAAATCTTTAGCGTTAATTTAAAAATATATAAATAAAAACGTAGATATTTGAGAATCGTCAGATAGAATTTAAAAAAGTAAAACTCTTTTCTCGACCGTACTGGCAAATATTATTTATTAAATCACAACGTTTCGACCCTTCTTTGAGTCCTAATCAAGTGATCTAGATATACATAGAGAAAAAATACAGTACAGAGATTAATACAATAAAAAAAATTACTACTAATACTAATAAAATTAATACTAATAAAAATAAAATTATAATTTTATTTTTATTTTCACAAGTATGTTTTGCTTCTTTTTATTATTTTGTAATATTGTTAAGTGAAGTAATTTTTTTTTATTGTATTAATCTCTGTACTGTATTTCTTCTCTATGTATATCTAGATCACTTGATTAGGATTCAAAAAAGGGTCGAAACGTTGTGATTTAATAAATAATATTTGCCAGTACGATCGAGAGAAGAGTTTTACTTTTTTAATAATATATATTTCTATATGTTATATGTATACATAAATTAATTTGAATATATTTGAATATATTTCTTATTTTGCTAAATTATTTTTAATTAAATTACATATACGTCTTGCATATATAATTCGTACTTTTATATAGGAAAATATTCAGTTAAAAATTTTACTAAATCTAAATTAAAAATTTTAAAAATATTAAAAATTTGTGTACAATGCAAATTCAAAGAAAAATGTAAACAACATATCACATATGAAGAATACTTTATTTATGAAAATAGTAGTCTCGAAAAAGCAAGATAATCTTAGCATTCATTTGCCTTTGAGATATTTTTAGGATGCCAATGTCTCTCGAAAAAACAACGTGAAATTCCAGTTTCTTCTGTTCTTGCTTTCAGTTTTCGTATTCATATCGTTACTTGTCATGTAACAATTTTGGGATGAACGAATTATAAAGTTTTTATTCTTTATTCTGAAATTTATTTAAACAGAATTTTTATTAACAATGTTGAGGTATTTTTATTAACAATATCGTCATCATTAATTCATACTTTTGTTGTCAAACTTATTGAGCTTTTAATATTAATAAATATAAGACAACATAAAATATTAATCAATTTACTTTTTTCATTTTTAAATTATTTTTAAATGATGGAAAATTATTCAAACATATATTTTGAAATATAAATGTTTAGTATTTAGTAATTTAATGAGGCAATTCATTTACATTAAATATTCGAGCTTATTATTTGCGGTAATTTATTTAGAAAGGTAAAGAGTTGCTTTCATCGTGCTCTCGAGTATGATCACGACTATGGAAAATATAGAGTCGCGAAAGGTTGCCATTTACAAACAATTATTTTTTGTTTGATGCATCATGTCATAGAATGTAATATTGCAACATCTCTCTTACATCTCTCTTTCAACAACATAAATAGATCTTACTCCTTAGATACTATTTATTCAAAAATAATTCGTAAAAACAAATATTAGATTATAATTGCGTCAATATTTCAAAATTAAACAAATATTATCAAATGTGCAGACAACAATTTTTATAAATTAAAAATTAAAACACAACATTAAAAAATCATTCTATTATATTAATGATAATTTTTTCAATTATATGTTTCTAAGATTTCAGATCAAATATGTTTGAATTGTTGGAAGAGATTAGATTTTAATTCTTTACTTTTTTCGATCTCTATTTGTCTCTTATGTGGCATTTTTCTATTATCTCATCAAGTACGAAGTTTCTCTATCCCACCAGCTATCCGGGTTTTTTCTGATCCATTACTTTCTCAGCTCCTTGTAAATCAACTGATAGCGTATAATATTCCGGGTAGCCACTGGTTTCACAGGATACGTCTTCAGGATGTGGTCCACGTAACACGTGGACGCTGGATTAGTAAAAAATTGTGTCTACTGCATAAGAGTGCAATAAGAAAATAAATAAGACGTGAATATGTGACGATTAATCCGATAGAATACTAATTGATATTACAAATATACTAGAATAATTACACACACACACACACACACACATATATATATATATATATATATATATAATATGAATAAAGTATAATATTATAATATTAATCGTAATGTATAAATGATGAAAAAATGAAAATTTTAAGTGCAAAAAGTGGAAGAAAATAAATGAACCGATCTACACACAGATATATTTTATAAAAAATTGTTCAATATAAAGAAAGAAAATCGATCATACTTATTTTGCGTGAGGGTCTTGTCTCTGTAAATAATCGGCAGTGTATTAAGTTTCGATAGCCTCGAAACATTTTTGCCAAGTAGTTCTTGTTGACCTCTTGGCGGTCAAGTTGTCAAACTGATCGGCATCATGGTGATAATACCCTCCGGCATGTTCACCATGATTATGCCGGTCAGAAACACGATTGAGTCAATCCAATTGTAGTTCATTGCTATAGATATATGCAGAAGAACGAAAGTCCTCTAAAAAGACGGCCCAGCACGAGATTATTTTTATAAAACGATGATTCTGTTTTTTTGGAGAACGGCGTAAGTCTAGAAATTAGCTTGGCCGCACTCTTCTCATGTCACGGTACACTGAAAAAATTATTAACTTGATGACCTGTTAATTATTAACTTGATTAACTTGAAAAAAAAATTATTAATTCGAAACCGTTCAACTAAATTATTACTTTGTTAATTGAACATACATTAGTATTTAAGTCAAATACACGGTTTGTTAGATTTAATATGTTATATTCAATTTAATGAAATGTGTTTTTATATATGTTCAATTAATCAAATATTATTTAGTTGAATGATTTAGTTCACGTTAACAATTTTTTTTCAATGTACGATCGCCATTACGACTCCTTTTCCGATACCCGTTAAATAACAACTAACTTGACAATGGTGAAAATTAATTAAATTGAATCAAATAAAAACGTTTAGCAACTAACTTGATAATGGCGAAAATTATTAAGTTGGATTAAATAAAACTTTTAACGAAATAAAAATTACCCACCTAATTAGATTGATTATTTAATACGCTTATTAAAATAAAGTGAAAAAGTAATAGATTCTCTTTCTTTCCCTTTAAATTATTATTTATTTAAGTAAAAAACGTTGATTTTTTTTATATCTTCCACGACGTTTGTGGAAAAGAATATCATATTTTTCACGTGAATATTAATATATCAATTCGTCCGCAATCAATGCATATTCTTGACCTTCAAACCTTCGTTAAGACAAAAAGTATTAAATTAATTAATTAATTAATTACAAAAAGTTGATTAACTCTCTCTATTGTGATATTATCAATAATTGGAAGAATATATTAATTCTTTAAATTTCGCGTTTATATACCTATGTAATTTTTCTGAATAATAATCTTCTCCGTCTTTTTTGGATAAATAAGGACTTGAATAAAGCGAGAATCGATCGTGCGAGGAGAAAGGAGACTTGTTTTTTTCTGCACAAGAAAAGAAGAAGTTTCATGCTCTCTATGCGGTGACAGAACACACCTCACCTCACCTTGACATTCCAGGATTCTAATATCAGCGGGCACCTGGTCTCCAGCAGGACGATGTCCCCGACCAGCAACTCCTTTCTCTCGCCATCCCGCAGGACCTTGGCCCATTGAGGACCATTTGCGAAAACAAGTCCGTGAGCTCTTCAAGTCAATCAGGATCGGCAGGATCAGGACCAAACCAAACCAGATATATGCGGCCGCCTCGCCGTAAGTTATTAATTCCAAAAAATAATTAACGAAGCATAAAATCGCAGTCTCCTTGAAATTCCTCACATTTTGAGGAATCTTTCAAGTTCTTTCTTTTATTTAATTTTTACATATAAACCAGATTTTTACAAAATAAAGGATAAATTCATTTGCTTGCATAACATTTTACAAAATATTGTTATTTTTTCCTTAAAAATATATACATATATTTTAAATATGAATAGAAGATATATAAAAGATACATATCAATATCGTAAGATATGAATTAAATAAAACTTTTTATATTTATATTAAATAATAATTGTATAAAATATCATTGTTACTTTATCAATATAATCATTAACTATACATACATAAATAATGAATAATCATATAAAAAAAAATGTTTACTACGTATATACGAATCCGCAAATATCTCCGGCGTGCCGCAAAAAGACTACGAGCGCGCCATCTCTCGTCAACGAGAATCACCGTAACTCCCGCTCGCTCGATCAGCGGCAAGCGCAGTTGTCACTTTGCCGAGCGCGCAGCTCGTTCGCTCCTCGCTATCCGGCGACGGTCGCTCGGCGCCACTGGGCAAAGACCTCCGCAATCCGAAGTCAGTCACGGCGTCTTCTCTACGCAGCAACGTATAGCAGCAGGAGAGGCAGCACGAACATTTGGCCAGTCTGTTCCGCGTTCGTCCGCCATTATATAGCGCCGTGGTGCCACAGCGGTTGCTCGCTATTCTCCGGTGAGAAGAGAAGCGCGGCGACGCGACGCTTACCGACGCTCGGCGTCGTCGAGCGAGTCTCGAGCGAACGAGCGAGTCTCGAGCGAGCGAGCGCGAGTCGGGGGAGTGACCAGCCGCGAGTCGCCCGCGCGAAAACAAGTACGGGCGAACGAGTGAGGTTCCTCCGAGCGAGAGTGGACTAGAGTCGCGAGGGAGAGAAGGCGGGCCACGCCGTCGTCGCCGAAGCGGGTAAGAACCGGCGCCGAGGGAAAAACATGGAGAACAGACCTTCGCCGCTGCGCTCGCGGCGCGTCTGCCGTTTTTGCCTGACAGAAGCGGAACCGCTGAGCTTCATCTACGAGCGCGACCACAACAAGCCGTTCCAGGTGCCGCTCACGTTGCAGATCATGTCCTGCGTCGCCATCGAGGTGAGTGTCCCTCCCTCCTCCCCCCCTTCCGGATATGTGTAATCTCCTTCGCGACACCGAGTCGATATCTCGACTTTTTACGACCGCGCTTTTCGCGCTGCCTGGAAAAACCTCGGTTCTTTTTTCGCGTCCGTCTCCGTCGAGAATTTCGTTAATGATGAATGGGATTTGGATTAGCGGGGTACGAGCCGAAGGGGGGTGTTTGTGTTGTGTTAGGAGCGAATAGGAGGATATGGGGATTGCGTGGTGACATCGGTAACGTGGGTAGTAAAATTGCCGGCTGATCCGGCGTCGTGACGTCAGCGCTCGCGAGGAGAGGACGCGACGCGTGTTTCCCGCGCGAAATTATTTTCCTTCTTTATCTTTTTTATCTGGATGCACTCTCATTTGGTTTTACAATTGGAGTTTTTTTTTAGGAAAGTTTAGATTAGTGAGTAAACGGTTTGAAGGGAAATTCATTTAATGAAGTTTTTGGCATTTTTACTCATTTTATCTTATCAATCCTATATTAGTAAGTTATATATATATATATACAAGGTTTATAGTTCTTTAATTCATTTTATTCAAATAAATTTTTATAATCTTAAATTGTAATATATTATTTATTTATGATTGAATATATTGCAATCTCATTTATTCATATGCATATACACAGAAAATATTTGTTGATTTAACTAAATCTTTCAACTAAATAAAAATATTAGTTTGTTAATTGAATATATAAGAATATTTAAATTACATACAACATATTAATGTTCAATTAATAAAATAGTAATTTAGTTGAAAGGTTTAGTCAAGTTAACAAATTCTTTTTTCAATGATATATTTTTATATTTAAGCAGATACTCAAATTTTATGCAATAAATAGACATTTTATTTTATCTAATAATTTGTTAATGAGATATTTATTTTTATCTCTAATAATTTGAACCATTTCTTACATTTCATTAAATGTATATGTATCTGTTGATTGAATATTACAATCTTATTTATTCATTTGCATATTCATCACTTTATGATATTCTTATATTGAAAAAAATGTGTTAATTTAACTAAATTTTTCAACCAAATAAAAATATTAGCTTGTTAATTGAATATATAAGACTTTAAATTAAATATAACATATTAAATCTAACAAAACGTATATTTGACTTAAAAACTAATATATGCTCAATTAACAAATTAGTAATTTACTAGAAAAGTTTAGTCAGTTAAGAAATTTTTTCTTTTTTTTCTGTGTATATTTTTATATTTAAATAGATACTGAAAATTTGCGCAATAAATAAAATTAATAATTTTTTACTGAGATATTTTATTTATCTCTATTAATTTAAACCATTTCTTACATTTTATTAATGTGCGTTTGTTATTATAAATGTATCTGTTAATTGAATGTTGCAATCTCATTTATCTCTATATCATTTTTTAACTGCTGCATATGATATATATTTTACTATATTTGATTATTGATATAATACTTGATCTTTGATATATTGTACTTGATTTTTTATGTATAATTTAATGGAACCTCGATAATATAATTCTTTGATCTTTATATTTGCATAAATTTTTATATGTATTTTATATGATATATATGATGTGTAATATATACGCATAATTTTTTAAGAATTACACATTTGTGTATTCTATACAATCAATTTATTATTATAAAAAGTTTTATCTGAATAAGAGGCAAATAGAAATTATAACGTTGTAATTTTCTTTTTGTTTATAATTCCTATTTGTTTCAAAATTTTTACTTTGATAAAACTTTTACAATAATAAATTATTTTATTCTTTAATAATCAAATAAGAAAATAATCTTTGTTCTTTTATTACTGTATATTTTAATTTTACATTTATAGATTAATGTGTAATACATATTATTTCTCATAATTTTCTAAATAAAATATCTGTACAAATAAATGAAGTGAGATCAATCTAATTAATTTTATATGTGTATTATACATGTATTGTATACAGTTTTTAATATAATTCTGTACATTGTATATTATATATCACTTAGGTAACTTTAAATTTATAAGCTTTACGAAATTGATATGCTCAGCACTGAAACCTCTCCTACGTCTCCTGAAATTGATAAAGTTTTACGAAATCGATCATCAATGAAACCTTTCCTGCATCTCCAATGCCGAAGAAACTCCTTTCCGGATTTCCGACATATGAAGATATCTCATCGTTAACGAACTTTCGCAAACTTATTTTCGACAGGTCTACGCCGCGGATGGGATGCCACAAATGATATGCAACATGTGCCGCTGGAATCTGGACCGTTCGTATAAATTCAAATTGCAATGCAAGAAGGCTGACGAAGCGCTGCGAGACTATCCTCTATCTGGAGTATTGCCCAGACCTTTCCCACCTATTCCCAACGATCCACCAGAGATCGGTACTAAGAGACCTGCTGAAGGTAGATCGCAACATGACAGCGCCAAGAAGCCACGTTCTGATAACGATAACCAGAGAGAGACCAGAGAGAGACGCGAGACTAGAGAGAGGGATAGAGAAAGACAGAATGAAAAGAAAGAGAAGAACGAGCGCCATGATCTTTACGAAGAGGAACAAGACGGAGGCAGCGAAGGTGAACAGGAGGAACAAAGGTCAAACAATATCAATATCAAGGAAGAGAGGAAACTGGAGCCCGGAGAGATCAGAGTGCACGCATGTGATCAATGCGATCGCACATTTCCCCTGCGTCAAGCTCTGGCGTTGCACATTCAGCGCGCTCATCGCGATCGCAATTACAAGTGCACCGAATGCGAACGGCACTTCTTCACTAAATATGATCTTGGCAAGCATATGACTACACATTCAGAGGAGAAGCCGTTCTCGTGCTCGATCTGCCAGAAGCAATTTTCGCGGCTGAACTTGCTGCAACGTCACGAGAAAGTGCATCGAGATGAAGCTCGCTACGCTTGCCAGCATTGCGATCGCGAGTTCTTCACTACGGAGGAACTCGAGAAGCACGAGGACGCGATGCACAAAAAGGACAAACCGTTCCAATGCAACATCTGCAACAAGCGCTTCCAGTATAAACAGGGCTTGGAGCGGCACGAGATGCTGCACAGCGAGGACAAGACATTTGTTTGCGACTACTGCAAGGAAGCCTTCCACACTAGCACTAAATTAGCTCGGCATCTGTCCACGCACGCCGGTCACCGGCCATTCATGTGTAAACTATGCCCGCGCACGTTCTTGCTGTCGCATCATTTAACGAGACACATGCGCACCCATTCCGTCGAGAAACGTCACGTGTGTGAGGATTGTGGTAAGGCCTTTAAGCGTAAGGAAAGTTTAGAGGTGCACCAGCTGACGCACACGAAGCGCACGGGAATGGGTCTCACGTGCGACGTCTGCCAGGAGTCCTGTCGCAATCGCGCCGATTATGTCACTCACATCAAGCAGCACATCGAAGCGGGCGAGAAGATGGGCCCGGACGGTCTGGCGCCTGACACCAAAAAGGCTGTCGAGCTAGATTCGGATGAAGAGGAGGAAGAGGAGGATCAGTACTCGGACGGCGACGACGATTACACCCCGCCGGCGTATATCGCGAAGAAACTGCCGAAGCCGCAGCCTAAGCCTTCGGAGAGTGACGAGGAGGAGGAAGAAGAAGAAGAGGATAGAGACGAGAAGGAAGAGAAACCCGAAAGAGCGGAAAAGGAAGAACGCAAGGAACACCAGGTGGTCTTCGTGCGCGGCAAGGATGGTAATATGGTGAAGAAGACCATCAAGACGTTGATGCCGATCCAACGTCGCGATATTCAAGAGCAAAAGACCGTGAAGAGAGAGGTGCAGAGCCCTGTCACCGGTTCTCAGAGCAATTTGAAAGGTTCTACGTCCCAGAGCAAGGATGATAATATCAAGACCGGTCGCGTAGATGAGACCGAGGCGCAGGTGCAGAAAATCGTTGCCTCGGTATTTAAGGAACACAAGATTCCGTTGAAGCATCAACAAAACGCTGGCCAGGATCCATCTAAGGACGTAGCACCGGTAACGAGATCACAAACCGCAACTCAGGACATTCGCAAGGATAACGATAAGACGGAGATCGTTGCGACTACTCCGAAGGCCGTTAATACGGTTAAAGTGATTAAAAGAATCGTGCTGAGGAAACCAGCGGCAGGAAGCAGTAACGAGGGAACACCGATCAGCACAGTATCTAGTATCAAGGATGGAGACACCAGCGTAACTAGCACTCCGGGCTCGCACAAAGTTAAGCGCGTGATTGTTCGTAGAATCATTCGGCAGGGCGATACTACCCGCGAAGTCATCATGAATCCGGACGGCACGGCGATAGATCCCGCAGAATTGGCGAAATTGCCGGCCGGCAACGTAGTGAAGCGAGTAGTGATGAAACGACCTTTTGACAAAAGTCAGAGTTTGGTGCAAGCGGTACTGCAATCTGCGGAGCAACGTCAAAAAGTAACCGATACGAGCATTCTGAACGAGAAATTTGAACTGAAGACCTCCTCTTCGCCCAGCAGTGGATCTGTAAGTACGCCGAAGAGCTCGATCTTATCGCAGAAGACGCAAGTGATTTCCCAGGGTCAGGATCAGGAAACCAAGGAGAAACTGGAACAACTGGAGAAGCGAGTCGAGCAACAGAGGTTGAAGATCGAGGAGCTTCAGGCAAGGAAGGCGCAGCAGGATTACGAGGCGATCGATGAGATGTTGCCGGAACGGCACGATGAATCCGAAGATGAGCAGCAGCTGCCGCTCAAGAGAGTATTCGTGAAACGGAAACAGAGTATATATGACGAGGAGCGAGAATACAATGACGATGTGGAAACAGAAACGAAGACTAATCCGATTCAAGAAGTAAAGAATGAAGTTAAGGAAGACTCAATGAAGGAAGAGGAAAAATCTGTCGAAGAAGAGACATTGGAGAATGTTGAGAAGGAAATCCAAAGCACATCGAAAACAACGGCGACAACCACCATCACCAGCAGCAGCAACTCTACTACCATAAACAGCACACCGTCCCCGAAGAAGGGTCCAACGATTTCGAGCAACAAGGTATACTCGAACAAGCGCTACATGATCGTAAAACATGGCGAAACGTCGGAAGTGGAAGAGATGAGTCGCGAATTGTGCAACATCTTGGAGACTACCGACAACGTGATGAAGATGCAGGAAACTGTGCTGAGCAACCTCACGCAAATTTCCGGCGTCGCGGCATCAGCATCAGATATAGACGCGTCAAATGTGCCTGCGAAGCTGACGACAGTCGATTCACCGATGGAGGTTGACGAGCAAATTGTTGGCCAAGAGTGCGAGATGCAGGTGGATAACGTGGACGGCACCAAGGAGGAGACTGCGATGGAAGTTGAGGTCATGCAGGAGACGGACGTTAAGTTGGAAACCGAAGTGGAAGAGCCTGCGCAGGTGAGCGTTACGCAAGCAGAGAGTCAGCCTGAGGGCGCAACTTTGTCGCTGGACACCCAGGATCTTTCCGAGGCCGCCTCGATTTTCGAGTCGTCGGAGGACGTGATGGAGACCGTGGTGCAGAAACCGACGACCGATACCCTGAACGAATCTGTTATTGAGCTGCCGCAAGGTAACGACACCATCAATCTGAACGATACCAACGACAGTCAGGACAGTCTGGAAGATAAACTTTCGCAAATGGAAGGTTAAGAGAGGTTTGATTCTATTTTATTCGTTTGTCTATTTTATTGAAGTGCTGCGTCAAATAAAAAATCGTACTCTCGAAATTTGCTAGGTGTCCTATTATTGGTAATTAATTTTGATATTATCAATAAATAAATTGCGGTGTTCAGTTTGAGTAACGTCAATATTAACATCTTGATTATGACGTGTATTATTGCTGGATTAATATTGTTTACGTAATAGTTGTACAAACAAAATACAAAACTAATAATATTGTATTGCAGTTATGAAGTAATACAACATTGCAATGAAATTAATTTTGTATGCAAAGGATATCTTAAAATCACTTTAAAAATAAAATCTAAAATTATGTTGAAAAATACTGTTATTAAGAAATTTTAGACTCTCAGTGTGAAATATAAATTTAAGTTTTCATAGATCGAAAAAAATTAATTTAATGAGATTTAATTGGATTTAATTGATATTGAAACAAAAAATTATATAACTAAATACTATAGTTTTAATGAAAAATTAATTTTTCTTGAAACTGATGCATTGCTACCTAGCTCTTTCTAGCTCATTGAAATTAATTTGTTACTATTACTTTTTTTTTGTTTAAGATGTAACTCGATTACATGCGTTATTATTTTATTATTACAAATTATATAATTTTATCTTAATTTAATGTAATTTTCTCTCCGCTTCTGCAAAATGTTACAGAATATCGATATAACTTTACAATAAATAATTTTGAGAATTATATTTAAATTATAATTTAAAGTTTTAATAATTTTAACATTTTTTGAAGAATTGAATTCTTATATTCAAGTTAATAAGAATATTGGTCGAAAAATATTCTTTAATGAGAATTGTTTCACTTTCGCGAAATCTAGAGTTTTGAAGCAAAAAACTTAAAGATGCTTCAGAAAAATTTTGACATAATCTTAATGAGATTGACACGATATTATCATTCGTTCACAATCATTGAAACGATCGTAACAATAAAATCATAAAAAGTGATTGTATATATGTATTTGATTTAAAGAGATTCTTCTGTAAAAGAATCTTTACTTGATCTGGTTATAATATTATTATTAATAACTTCAGTGAGGTTATATTGAATGTTATAAAATTTATTTGTTATCAATCCATCTTTTGCACGATGGGAAAGAGATTAGAATTAAAAATAAAACATGATTATAAAAAAATTCTATAGATTCAGTATAAAAATTTAAATATAACTTGCAGAAGTATTTATTGTAAAGATCGATATTCTCTAACTTTTGTGGCAGGGATTGAAAGAGAATTATATTGAATTATAAAAATAAAATTATATATTTTATAATAATATTTTTTATAAATAATAATTAATATTATATTATATTATATAATAATACATTATTATTAATAATAATATATAATAATATTTTTTAACATAAAGCAATCTTTTGCATGCAAAATGAATTTTATTTATTACTTGCTTCGTAATTGCAATGTTATATTTATCTGATTTTATTTTTTAATTTTCCCTCGTGCAGGATGAATTGATAGTAATGAAAATAACTGGTAATTAAACTTCAACATTTTAAAATCGAATCAATCATGTGAAGATGCTTTTACAGAAGGATTTCACATTTTTTTAATTTGAATAAATGTCACTTTTTAAGATTTGGTTTCGATGATTGTGGCCGGGAGATAATCGTGTCAATCCTATTAAGATTATGTCAAATTTATTCTGGCGCAGCTTCAATATTTTTGCTTGAAAATTATAGACTTCGTAAAGGTAAAGCGGTTCTCGTAAGTTTGAGTCATTTATTTCGAGACTGGCGAATGTTGATGCTACTTTAATAATTTTATGTATCAACACATCAAAAAATCTATTTAAGAATTTTATTTTACATTTTTTCACAATTGTATAATTATGTTTCTAAAAGAATGGTATGCAAAGAGAATTTCTACTCTTATGATGCTTTCTTGATTTCGTCTCTTATTTATTTCTTACATGTCTCGATTTTTCAAAATTCGACTTATGCTGTTTTCGAAATGAAGAGATCTCTGTAGATTGAAAAGAACATTGATTAAACTTGTTCGTGATACCTTCTGATTTCGAGTGTTATCCTTTAATTTGGCACATTGCAATGAAAAAAATGTATATAAATATATAGACAGCCACTGGATGGTTTTATCGGCTCCCATTTTCCCAAAATTAAAGTCATGAGAAACGTATACATATATATACAATATTTTTTCTTTTTTACACATTTGTCTTGACTAACGAAGAAATCTCATGGTTCTTACATTCGTCAAATTTGTCTATTTTTCAACATTAAAATTTGATATGCAACCAGTTGTATCAACCGGTTGTTTGTTATTCGTCAACCCTCTTTTATCCTTCAAATTAAATCATGTTTTCTATCTTTAAGAATGATCAATATATAATTCATTTATAATCCATAGTATATGATTAAAAAAAGATATCTGTATTAATAAATGAAAATGTGTTAGAATAATTTATATATAAAAATTTTCTGTTGTAGATATAATTTTGCTATAATTTTCAAAGTACGGCTGCAAATTGCGTTAATCAGATTTTAGTACTGACTGAAATTAGTATGAATCGAAGACAATTGTCACAGTCCACATTGTCTATTAGCATAATTAAACTGATCATTCTTTTTGATTTATTATTTTTTTGAGTATCATAATCGCAATTTTTTCTTTTTCATAATACGTTATTAATGCAATGGATTCTGATTTTGCGCGAATCAGTATATTTATAACGTTGGGAACATAAAAGATAATGAAGTACTAGCTATACATATGACGACAGTGTAATCATATATCCAAAATTATTTCGATAATTAGTTTTGAAATCGATAACACGTAGGTTATCCGATACTTTGTGCAAGATATTTGAAATGTATGAAATACAAAGTATATGGTGTGTAAATGTAAGAAGAGCCCTCGACGATTTTGTATGCCTGTCCTCCATCCTTTCTCTTAACATTCTCTTAACATTCATCCAAATATTCAAATAGGTAAGAGAATACAAAAATTATATATAATATGTATACACACAGTATAATTATCTAATACAATATTTTATTAGTTACAAAAAGATGAACATATAATTAGAAGAATTTATATAAAAAAAAAGAAACAGACTTTATTCCGTACACATTACATATAATTCTTACATTTAGGATAATATATGTATTCTGGGTCATATTATTACATAAATATATATCTATTAATTATATATATGTATAAAATATATAATGCAATAACTATACTTTCATTTATGGAAGAAATGCATATTGTTGCGAGTGTATTAAATATATATGTAGATGAATTAAAGATCACGTATGCGTGATCATGTTTGAGAATTAGTCATATTTTTACGACGTGCTTTTACAAGATTAGTGGTTTTTAACCAAATATTAGCTCTCATGCATGTAGGTATGAAAGATTCTCAGAGAACATCCACGGTGAATAAGTAGGAAATATCTTTAAAATCGATTATAAATTCGCGTGTAAACTTGCGCGAAATGGTTACAAACATGCATCTGTATTAATCTAACATTAAGCGAAATGATCGAAAAGTCACGCAAGCGCAGAAATTAAATAAATATATTAATAAAAATAGATATGGTTTATAAAAATATAATGAATAATTCCATTGAGGCAAATTTTTTTTATCCACACATTGTTTAATATTAAAAATAAAATATTTTTATACGTGTGATTAAATTAATTAATTATTAAACTATTAGAGAATCATTAATTATTACAACATTGCGTGGTCAGTCTTAATTAAACAAGAATAAACATTATTAGAAATTAAATTAAGTCTTGATGATTTTCACTGATGATAAGAGAGCAATGAATACTTAAAAACATGTTGAAATAAAAATTTTGAAAATTGTTTACTTATGTTTATATTGATGAAAAGAGGCGATATATATACATTTATTGAAGTGCTCTGATTGTCATAATTAAACATAAAATCAAATATCGAAATATCAAATACATTTAGCAAATTGCGTGATTTTTCAATTTTATTAATGAAGCGCGGTAAGAATTTAGTCGAATGTTTCATTTAATTATTGAAATACATACAATTGTAATATCAAACTGCATGCATCACTTAATTATTGACAAAATGTCGGTATTGTAAAATATTTTATAGCAAAAAATTTCTTTCGTTTTCTTCATATATTCGTCCCTATTTTTATTTTTATACGATTCGAGAGACGATCTAAAAATGTATTATATAATTAAATTGTAATTAATTATTTAATTTATGTAATTACAATTTTATGAATATTATAAAAAGAATTTTCGAAAATTATTATATTTTACATTCTATTGTTTTTTTAATTGAAATTAAATTAATGCTTTATAATTTAAATAGAATTGTTAATATAGACAACAAAATGTGAAAATTGTATAAAAGAAATTGTACTTTTTATTTCAAGATTAATTGTGGTTGCAATAAAATTGCATTTCTAGATTGTCTTCAGCGATTATTTATAGGAATCGACATTCTCAATATTCTTTTAAAAATAATACAATTTAATTTTACAATTTTAAAATGGTTTTGCAATTTGCGCTTCGTGATATTTACAATAAAAGCTGACTAATAATTCTTATCACGTTATCGATAAGACAATTGACGAACTGACAAGACTGTTAAAGTTGAGATTAGAGCATCAAGCGGGATTCACGTTTTTCCTGGCGGTAAGATTCTGCAACTGTAAAACAAGGATGTTCGGTTTTCCCTTTTTTCCATATATGCGAAAGTATTCTTTATTCTACAAGCGAATTACTAAATTGTTTTCGTGTATGTCTGGGCATCTTCGTACCTTAAAGTCCGTTATGTCCGCTGTCAATATACTCGAACCTCTGTGGGACAGAGACGATCGTACTTATTGTTAGAAATGAAATTTTTTCTTATTTCGAAAAAACTCGTGCAGATTTAATAAGGTAGTTGTGAGATTTTATAAAGAACAAATAGGAGAGTAGTCAAAAAATAAGTAAGAAAATTCCACTTAAAAAAAACAAGGATTTGACTTTTGCATTTCATCATTAATTAAAAAATTTCTGAATAATTATTGTTTCGATTTTAAGATTTTTGATGAAAAAGATAAAAGTATAATAGATAAAAAATTACTTTATATAAATTGGTTCTTGTATGTTAATAATTTTTTGTCTCTCGATTTTTTTAAATTTCAAAAATAAAATCTATTTAATTTTTTTATCTATTGCATTTTGCAATTATGCATTGCGAGGATACATGCATTTGCTATATATGTATATACATATATATTATAGATACTTTTTGTCCCATAAAAAATTGGATAAATATTTGAGCTTATAAGATTTCAGAATTCCATCGATAATGAAAAAAAAATTGTAAATTATAGCAAATATTAATCTAAGAAAGTTAATGCGTGCGTCAGAGTGATTTTTAAGCGGATTAAATCTTGTTAATGCATAGGAAGATGCCAGACTTACATTATAAATATATATTTAGAAAATTGTTTAATTAAGCCAATTGTAAAATTAAGCCATTTTCCAGATATTAAAAATCAAAAGTTCATATATAGCATAATATTTAATTTTTAATAATTATTGGGAACTTCTTTTAGATATTATGTAAAGAAACTTATAAAAATAAAATTAATTTTACTAAGAAAAATGTAGAAAATTAAATAAAATTTAAAAATTAACAAATTAAGAAATTTATCGAAAATAAATAATTTTGAAAATTAATTCTCTTTTTGCCGAAAATTGAGAATTAATTATATCTTTGATTGGCAATGAAATATTTTATATTCATGTCTGAAAGTGGCTTCACATTCTTGTGGTATAATGTACCTCTTTCTCCTCGTTGGCAACGGAGGCATAAGTCCTGGTGGGAGCTTCCGGTTCCTTGGCGGGCCCAACTGCATGCACATAAATTAACGCGCCGGCGATGCCACCCATAATTGGGCCTACCCAGTAAACCCAGTGATCATGAAAAGCACCCATGACCACGGCGCTTCCCAGTGAACGCGCCGGATTCATCCCGGCGCCTGTTCGCGGTATCTAATTATTACAAAAATATTCTTATATAGAGGTATAAAATAATTTAATTTGATCGAAGGAAGAACTAATTTCTCCTTCATCGTTGTATGTATCTATTTTAATAATGTTTTATTAATTACAAATTTCGCATTTTATAATGTACAACTTTAAGTAAATTTTACATTAACATTATTGTAAAAAATATAATTTTAGAATATACATTAAAGTGGAATATAATCTTAAATAATATAAAAATGTTGAAATTTTGAATTTAAAGGTCTAATTTAAAATTTTTGTTAAATAATAAAATGCGCGTTTGTAATTATCGAAACACTTACGCCGACAATATGACCGACGGTGACTACCAGGCCGATTAAAAGTGGTGCGATGCCTTTGCTGTCTGGTTTTGCGGCGTCGCACGCACCGCAAATCACCAGAACCAAGATCAACGCGAGGAAGAACTCCACGCCGAGTCCTTGGACCGGGGTGATCCCGTGAGAGAGCTTTACTACACCTAGAGAACTTTCCATCGAATCCGCCGAAAGAGCCCGCAGAATCGCCGAGCCAGCGATGGCACCCGCACATTGTGCAACGATATATAAGATGCCTCTGATGATTGGCACCTACCGAGAATGTAACAATCAGAATCTTATCTTAATAGATAATCAGGATAATAGATAACAATATAGGATATAATCAGGATAATAGATAATAGATAACTATTCAGGTTTAAAAAAAATAAACTTGAACATAACATCAAGATAATTAAACACACACACAAATTATGCAATTAATGCAATTAGTATTCAATCAAAATTCAAGATTTATCAATGATATGATTATTATTGAAAATTCTACTAATGCATCATTTCTTTATTGAATTTTATTTATAAGAATTGATTAATTTAAGGAGGAATTGATCGTCGTTCCTTTTTATTTTTTTATTTAGACGATTCCACGGTTTGTGGATCAATTTTCATCGCGTAATATCGAATTCCTTGGATGAGTATTAATTTCATTTGTGGAATAAAATATAGCTGATTCTCGGTTACACAATTTATATACATCGGATTTATAGCGACTTAGAACCATATTTAAGAAAACTTGAAGTAAAAATAAATAATAATAACGAAGAGCAATCTAAGTATAAAAAATGAAGAAAAAGTTAACTTATTTTTCATGAATCATATAAGTTAAGTATGACAATTATTTTGACATTTAATATAAATACCATTTACTACAAGTGTTTTTATATTTTATACGTTTTGCTATTTTATTTAATTTTTGCAATTAAGGGTAAACATTTTGATCAAAGTACACAAATATACGATTTGTCACTTTACCTTGCCAATGATGATAAGACCACACGTGACCGCCGGGTTGACGTGACCGCCAGAAACGTGACCTATCCCCTGAATTGCGCTTGCCACTACCAGACCGAAGGCCAGACCGATGGCGACAACATTGTCAGTTACCACGGCACCGCAGCCGAAAAAGTTGAGCAACAGGGTGCCGAGAAATTCTGCCAAAAGACCTCGAGGGAGACCAGCCTTCTTGTCGGTAAGTTCATCAGCGCCCAGGGCGTTTTTTAGATTCACCATCTGCGCCAAAAATTTCAGAAAAGTTAAGTAGAAAATAAATACAAAATAAAATATAAGGAAAAAAGAATAAGAGAGAAAGAATAGAAAGAAATATTGTGATAAGAATCATTTATTTGGTTGTTGAAACAACCAAAGGTTTTAATACAAATTTGGAGTAATGGAAAAAGTTGGAAATATTTTTGATGTTTATTAGAAAATACATATATACTCATACAAAGATGTTTCCTTATATTTTTACATTACTATAAAATAATAATTTTTATTAAGATACATAATTGCTATCTATAGGTAGCACGAAAGATGAAAGTAAAGATATTCTTTTTGAATATATAGATAAAAAATATTCGATTTTTATGTACAATATGAATGAATGAAGTTCTGTAGAGGAAGTGTTCGTTTTCTTCCTTTCCGGATTCATATAAAATTTAATAGACTTTTTTTGCGTTGTGTAACACTTTCTTAGCGATGTTTAGCGATATTCTGTCGATCAACAAACTGGCGGATCTAGATCGAGGACACGCGTTTTACGAGCATATAGCCGCGACGAAAGCTTCAACAGACTGCATTACGTATGCAGATCGTCATATCCTCGTCTCGAATTACTTAATCGCTCTAAAGCTTGATCATCACCTACACGTCTTGATTAAGATCAGCTTTTCTTCTGTGATCAAAACAGCGAGATCTAAATAAATTTGCTTAATGAAGTATTTCTCATTTCAATAAACATTTTATTAAGCAACGAATTGTGTTATATAATATTGAAAAAAACAATCGGTTTTGTTTTCTTCAATATTCCATATAAAATCACGTATTATCTTAATCATACACTGAGAAAAAAAATTGTTAACTAAATCGTTCAACTAATTATTATTTTGTTAATTGAACATATAGAAGTATTTAAATTAAAATACAACAAATCTGATATAACGTGTTTTGACTTAAATATTTATATGTTCAATTAACAAAATAATAATTAGTAGAACGATTTTGTCAAGTTATCAACTTTTTTTCTCAGTGATGTTAATTAAGTTTATTTGAAAGACAAACACTATTTTGTGTTTTACATATAATTTTGAGATATTAGTTTTTCTTTTCTTAATATCTGATTAAGCATAAAAGAGAAACATTTTCCCCCAAAAATATCCCATACGGTAGAGAGATTACGTAATTTCATGGTCGTCATTACTAAAGTCGTAAGCTGAGATGATCGGATCCTACACATGATGTCACAGTTTCAAGATTGTTCTTCCTTCGCATCCGTCCGTATATGTGTCATAAAACTATTTGTCGCTTTTATGCGACCGATTTGCTAAATCGCGCGTTACGAAATCACGATAATTATTAAAGGAACCGAATTTATTTGTTGATTCTTTTATGCGATTTGCGCGATCGATATTTTGTTTTCTCAGCCTCGATGTGTATTTTCGCGAATGTTTAGATTGTAAACAGCAATGAAGCTTAAATTAGGGACCTGCAGAAATTTTCAGGTCGAGCAGTATTTTTACACAATTTATACTGTGTAACAACACTGATTTTATTTAAGAAATATTTTGCAAAATTTAGGATGCAGTAATTATTTTTAATATTTATTTTACATAAATGTCACATCGCAAATATTAATTTTATAATTCAATAATCTTAAGTTTATTAACATTAATATAATTAATACCAATGTGTTTATTGCAAATTATAATTGTAAAATTTTTCATATGCAAGATATCTGAAAATTCGACATTTTAAAAAGACAAACTCTCAACATCAATTGTCAATCAAATTTTTTCCAGCTAAACATTTTGAATATTTTGAATTTATTTCTGAAAATTCCCTTAAAGTTTCGTGGAATGTTCTGTTCATTAGCTTTGCATTTTCTCATATAGCGTAATTGGCTAAATTAATGAATTCCGCCTGACAATTTCACGGGATCGTAAAAGCGACAATGTTCGCACATTAATACAGCGGTCGACGTACGACACCGTCGGGAAATTCTGTGAAAGTACGACCTCCGATCTTTATTTCCATCATTTATTTACCTTTGCCTCCATTTATCCGATTGCTTTTAACAGAGTCGCGGCCGCGGCACTAATTTAACAAATGCGTTAATCACGTTACAAGTACGATTTCACGTTGTTGAGAAATCGCCTCTGCTAATGTTTCAAACAATTATTTATCATTTGCTCTAGCAAATCTCTGTACGTTAGAATTATAAATGTTTTACAAGAGCCTGAAAAATCACTTGACATTTTTTTGAAAATCCAAAAACTATTATCTAATTTTAAAAATACAAAAAGCGTACTTTTATTTATTTAATTTACATATCGTTTTGCACTATATTATCAGTTACATATTTTTTTATTATATTATTATTATTATTTATTAATTTAATATCACATATTATATATTATATAATTTTGATATTTCGCAAGTATTTGATGATAATTTCTTTAATTCGAGATATATTTGTGTTTGATCATAATAAATGATTATAATTATTTAATAAAAAATTATAATAAGTAATAAAATTAAAAGGTCAACTTAACGAGCTAATTGATTAAGTGTTAAAAATTTTTTTTTTTTATTCTACGTCATGAAAATAATACAAATGAAAATTAGTAAACGTTTCAACTGTACGACAGTCTTTATGAATACAAATATCGCCTTGCTAACATATCAATAAATTAAATAATTTGGAAAGGCAGAACTTATCATACATGTAAAATATATAGACTTATGAAAAAACGCAGTATAACACATCATACTTGTTGGCTTGAATTACGGCTGTGATCGTGCGAATTAATCGTTAAAGAGCCTAATCTCAAACATCAGATTTCTGTAGTTCTTTTTGAATGATGTTCGAGATTAGGCTCTTTAACGACTAATTCGAACGATCAGCTGTAATTCAAGCCAACAAGTATGATGTGTTATACTGCGTTTTTTATAAGTCTATATATTTTACATGTATGATAAGTTCTGTCTTTCCAAATTATTTAATTTATTGATATGTTAGCAAGGCGATATTTGTATTGATAAAGACTGTCGTATAGTTGAAACGTTTACTAATTTTCATTTGTATTATTTTCATGACGTAGAATAAAAAAAAAAAAATTTTAACACCTAATCAATTAGCTCGTTAAGTTGGCCTTTTAATTTTATTACTTATTTTAATTTTACACGAGCCGAAATTTATTTTTCATTATATATAAAAAATTATAATTTTCTTGTTATGTATATATGAAATTACAATCGATCCAACATTCGCGACAAAATATTCAAACTTTTATAAAATAGTATTTTTAATATGAACTATTTAAATTAATTTCTCAAAAAACAATTGTCAAGTATTAGAAATAGCGCATGAATGAATGAATCGTAAACTGCAACTAGCAAAATCTCGAACTAAAAATTTTTTGGCCTAAAACTCGCCTTTGTTCCTCGTGTCTTTTTTGTCATAAGTTTTTTTCTATTTCTATTTACGCCCTACTTGCTTTTCGCACGCTTTACTACATTCAGCAGCGAAGAAAAGAAGGTCCGTCCTTCGCGACGCGATTATCGATATCGGTGTTCCACCTGGCGGCAATAAAATCCCCTCTTTCTATCTCACCTGAGAATCCCCCTCGGATTTCCTCCTCTACGAGGAGCCTATTGCCGTTGATCGTTCCGCGAAAGCAAAGACCGGTCGATTCGGAAACATAAATCGCCCGTTAGATCCTCGGCGATTTATCGCCGACCGTTAGAGAGATCGTTATCCCTATATGGTCTCTCAGGATTTTTCCCCTCCATTTATTTGATTTTTCTCAACTGGACACCGTACAACTTCTTCGGGATCCCTTTAAAGGATCGCTCGACCATGTCGGGCCGGCGATCCACTCGTTCCACTTTATAAGCCATGGCTTTTTCAATGCATCGTTAATCGGCATAGGTTTAATTTTACTTCAATTCGTTTAATGGTAGAATTACACATTTATATAATTTCTATAGATATACAATTTAATTCTTAAATTAAATTTTATTTCACTAAAAATTTGTGTTAATCCATATAAATTTTATGATACTTTTTATCCTTGTATTTTGTCATTATTTGCATATGATTGCATTTTTAATATAACTTATATTATTATTTTAATTTAATTTCGAATTTAATCTAAATGCTCATTTATTTCTTGAACACTTTGTACGATTGATATATTTACAATCACGTGTTTGATAGAAACAAAATATCTTATTGAATCATTTATTTTATGAAATAAGATTTTTAAAAAGTAAAATTATTTAATACGAAGAATCTTTATATATTTATATTAATTAATATATTTCATATTTTCTTTCAAAATTAGGATCTTATTAATTGTGTATTTTAAATGAGCACTGCGACACGTGTTTATTCATATGGTTGTATATGGATGGAAAATTGGGAGCAATAAATCATCGCGTGGCTTCTGTGAAAACAGCGCACGATAAAAGCAAAAATAGTTAAAATGTTCGCATAAATGTCACGTATCTACTAAAAATAATCACAATTTACATTACGCATCTCGCATGCATCTCACATTAAATCGCTAGTCTGATTTGAATCGTAAAAAGCTTGGTTTCGCATTTAAAGCAGCGCAATTGCATTTCAACCTTTTAACCGCGATAACAGTCTAAATATATGTTTCTCTGATTGGAAACCCACGTGTTTATTACCATACTACATTGAGCTTTTCCGGCCGATTTTGCTATTTATTGTACAATGTTGAAACATTGAATATTTTCATTATAGTAAATGTTATTGAATTTTCAATTTTAACAATCAGCTACGTTATTTGTTTTTAATTATACCTATGTATATTATTAAACCTATCTAAGTATATATAAATAATTAATAAGTAAAAATTATAAATATATACTCTCTAAATTTCTTGGAGTGAAAATCGAACAGTCTCATTCCAAAAGATTGAAATTTTACTCCAAGTTCCTGTTTGATTTAACTCCAAGAAATTTAGAGAGTGCGCAAATATATATACAAAAATTGAAATAAATAAAATGATCTCGACTCACCCTAAATCTCGTAACTCTGACGTTGATATACTAAATCCTTTCTAGTTCTGCCAAAAGCTGCTCGCGAGTTCTTGAGAGTTCGTCCAGAATCGTTGAATGGTCCTTTGATAAATCCTCGAAAATTTGTTAATTGCGGGTATTATTCGAGAGTTATTTGAGATTCTGTCGAATTTTTCCAAGAGCCTTTGAAGCAGAGCTGATTTACGATGAGGCCGAGATGACTCCTTGAGAGCGACCGAACGACAACTGTCGCAAGTAAAGCTCTCAGGCCGGTCGGGTCTCACGTAGGTAGGTATCTGTTCTGGTACTCTACCGGCTGGCTGGCTGACAGCAGAGTAGAAGGGATATCGCGGTTAAAAGTGGCAAATGCAGGCGCGTAAACAACGATGGATGAGTCCGCGCGCGGAATGTACGCGGATATTGTGATGAATCCAGCGGCTTAACTTTGAAAATTGCCATTGATAAGATTGTGAAAAAGATATCTCGACATTTTCGTTACGATTAAATGTGTGTGATTTAGGGATTTGACATTCCGTATTCAAAGATTCGCAATTCAAACTATTATAAGTATTTAAATAAAATATTGAAATTCGAAAATTACTTTTTATTATAATAATAATTAATAAAAAATTATGAAAATTGTGATATTAAAATTGTAAATATTTCAAGAAAATTTCCATGTTTTAAACTTTCTAAAGGATACTTGGATTTTTCGCAATTACTGTGAAAGTTCTTGACTGTTTTTAAAGAGAATGTATTAAGGACAATTTATTCCGTGCTTGTACTTGTTTCCAACTTACCTTTTGACCTCTGTGTTGCAATCTTTTCTCTCCAATTCTCTATGCAATGCGATTGCTTTAGGAAGTTAGAAAGCAGACAAGAAACTAGTTTGAGTGACGATATTGTCTGAAATAATCGAGAATTATTTCATTTAAAATGATAAAATTTTAGAATAATATTTTGACAAAATATATTCTTATATACATATATTTCAACAAAATTTTAATAATCTGTACAAATAACTTCTATTCGGAATACAAAAGAAATGTCGTGATGCAATTTTTCTCGTAGCGAATAGATTTCTTTCCCTTCGAACTTCTTTCGATTGTAGTTTTTCCGAAACGTGTAATCGGAAATGGCAGTTTCCCGGTAAGAAAAGAAAAGTTTCAACGGTACTTCCTTGCAGAGCACGCGATGCATAACGAAGGGGGAATCATCTAACCGCAACGACGACTACTCTGCTAAGGATGATGAATTCATTCTAGCCTTCACCTTTGCGATTAAACGCGTTCTATACGCGTTATAATTTTTCTTTTCATTTATTTCAATCATTTTTCTTTATTTCGATTTATTTCTCATGTAGACTCTAAATATTTTTAAATTGGTCTGCGATAAATTTATTTTACAAAAGTAACAAAATCATTCTTTTACGTTTAAATCTTTATTTAATTTTATTCTTTATTCTTCTTTTTATTTTTATTTCAAACTTTTTCTATTTGTCTATTTTACTTTGCTTATTTTGATTTTATTTTCTTATTTAGCTTGTATATTTATTTATCTCAAGTATATTTTTATTTTACTTTAATTTTCAAATTTAATCGTTTTCTTTGTTATTTCTCTCAGCGTGCTTGAGTTTACTCTCCTAGATTTAATTAGTCGTATAATTTGCACAAAACATAAAATCTCAAATGAAAAAGATTTCGAATAAATATAAAGATTCGGCGGTAGCGCGTTAATATCTTTAAATTCGAATCATTGGTCCTGCTGTCTTTAATGTTCTTTTTATCTTGTTGAATTAGTCGCGCAAGCAAGTCGAGTGTCATCGCGACAATCGACGTATACCATAAATCAATTGACGACATTCAGAAAATGCGGAGGCGGAATCGGAGGCGCGAGCGACGCGAGAAAATGTTAAGTAGTTGTTCGATCAATTCGTGTAACCCGAAACGCGATTCATCACGCATAATCATCCTTATATTCAACGATGATGAGTCCCGCGCGTATCATAAAAATAAATGCATGCAGATAAAATGTGCAAAAATACTATTAGAGTTATTGAATATTGCATGAATTAATGCATGAATTTTTCATATTATTGAACGAAAAATATTTACCTCACTTTTAAGAAAAATTGTTTTAATTTATTTCGCTAATTAGCGACTTTTAAATGTCTATCTCATCAAAAATATACATATATAGTTGCAAATAATAAAAATTAGAAATTTTTAATATAAAAAATAAAAAAGTTAAATTTTATGTAATTCTTTTGCATCGATTTTATGATTAATGCAATAAGAATGAAGAAGTATGACAAGAATTGAAATATATTGCGTTTTATCTATTATTTTTACCATATATCCTGATGCACAAGGCTACTATAGCCAATTAACTATTGGACGAATGGAATAATGACAGCTTCGGACAAAGTGTTTTTCTAGTGTAATGTTTTGTTTAGAGTGGAACTATAATTATGCCACATGTTGGAAGTTATCATAATTGAGTAACAATGAGCAGTTTAGAACAAACGCGAATATTACGGCGCATATATTGTGAAGGAGAATCCTATTATTAGAAGATTCTTTTCATTCAAAATAGCTCTTGGCCGCGTTGTTATTCGAATAGTTGTTTACGTGATTTAAGTACGCGTATTTATTGTGCATTAGTTAATACTCTTTGTGACAAGGACGATTAATAAATACGGAGAAAATTGTAGTAAGAAAATATTGAAGAATTTTATTAGACTTTATTAAATTTTATTAAATTCTTTTGAAAGAGAAAGAGTTAATTATTTAAATATATATTACAAAAACTCATAAAATTCAAGAAAGTTAACTTCACAATTTTTGAATTAATTGATTTTATAAAAGAGGTTTATTCATCATAAATTAATTGTCTAAAGATAAATTTGCATTTGTTATAATATATTCGCGTTTTATAAAATTTTGGTCGATATATATAATATAAGATGATAACGTGGGTTCAACGACATAGAGACAATCTTGATCTGTCTCGTGAAAAGCTGATGAATCATTTCGTTCTTTACTTAAGTCTGAATATTTCACATAGCAGTACAACAGGATCGTCATTGCCAAGTCATTACCGCTTTTTTCACGTGATCGTCGCGCGCTGTCAACTACCTCGTCGCTTTGTCCTTTTACTTAAAAATATGCATGAGACGTATCAACGTCTCCATATACCATATTTAGCAGATATCTATTTTTAAAGTATTCGTTACAATGATAAACATTTAGAAGGAAAAAAAGCATTAAACTGTAACACAGAAGAAATAATATTAAAACTATATACATAATTAAATAATAAAAATTTATTTTATTATTTAATTATATGTAAATAGTTTTAATTATAAATATATTTAAATATAGGCTGAAAGGCTTACAACATAAGAATTGAATATTAATGATATATTGATATTGTGTGTGTGTGTGTGATAAGAATGAAGATTAAAGTTAAAATTACATAAAATCATAATTATATGTTATAATGTAGGTCATTATTATACACTATTGCCGATTATTAACGCTCATAATCGACAAAGAGTTTCCTTTTTTTACTTTAAATTGACCTCGTCACATTATTTCAATTTCTAGATCGATTTGACGAAAAAGTCGCCTTGATCGTAATAATAAATCCAAGATCGACATTTTTTGTAAGTTAAGTATTGTAGTTCGTTATTCGTAGAGTCCGCGCGTTACGGAATATTTAGAATATTTTATTAAGTTTTACATATCTAATGTAGACAGAGTAATACTTATTTATAAATTTTTTGACACTTTTATTATACTTACAATCGTTTTTTATAAGCAAATTTGTGATTAAAGTACAATATTTTCTTCATGAATAATTCAGTGACCTTTAAATTCGTAAATTTGTGTATCTTGCGTTATATAACGTAATTTATTTTATTTTTATATTTAGAAATTCTATGACTTCATTATATCGCGTTTCTAATTCGAATGTAAACGCAGATTGATACAGATACAGATTAATAAACGAGAAACAGTTTCAGCTACTGTTTCATGTTAGATTTCAAGGAGACACCGGAAGAAAACCAGACATTTAAGCATATGTCAATTTTCGTTTTATCTCAAGTAATAGATGCACGTAATCGATAGATTGATATATGCATTATTCTATATAAATTGCATCAACAAGAGAAATCTAATTTTAAAAATAATTTTCCAATTAGAGCAGCGATACAGAGAAAGAGAGAGATTGATTTTCCAACAAAATTCATCTATTATTCATTATAATATTTGAAGCTATATAGATGGATTTAATTTTTATTTAAATGTATTCGGAGAAACATATAATAAAGATATTCTATACCAGAACATTCGGTGCTCTCGGATATGTATAAATAATTCCGCAAAATATATATAATTAAACCGTTTTAACACGTTTTAACACGTTAGATATCGAAAATCCTAAATAATATTATATAATAATATAGTTTCAAAATTTGCATATTATTAATTAAAAGTCACAATTCTTGTATCAAATACAATCTCTTTTTTATCATATTTTTATATTTTACGTACGTTTCAAACGTTTCTTGTGTAATTCCGACTGTCTCTAAATTCGTTTCTAAAAATCAACGAGATAGATCAATTTTGGCGAGCATAGAAAATTTTTTCTGACGAGAAAAGTGACACGTAGCATTTTTAATAAATTGATATGATACGATTATGCAAATTCTGCGACGTCGCACGTGGCAAGCCGATCGTTACGAGCGGGCGAGTGCAAGAAACTGCAGATATGACGTTCCCTCATGTTCATCGCGTCCATCGGCTGACCTCACGTATGCTAATTGTTGCGGTTTTATCTGCACGCGAGCTCACCATCGTCGTAACATCAGTTAACTGCCGCGAAATAGAACGCTAGGAAGGATTCGCCGAGGGAGAGAATCGAGGAAATTGAAATGACAAATAACTTAAACAGCGAATTATCTGACCGGTCATAAATTCCGTAAAAAAGAAACACTGAAATAAATTTTAAACGCAGCTCGGTAATATCAACAATTATTTAATTAATTAATTAAAATTATTTAAAAATTATTTAATTAATTAATTTTCATTATTTACGAGATACTACAAAGGATATAAAATTGGTAGTTTTGGAAGAAGACGTAATCCTGCGTGCGCGTGAAATTAGATTAAATTAAATTAAATTAAATTATAGTTTAATGACGCTCCATTAAATTACATTAGGATAATAGCTAGTTAAATATTTGGCTTTGTAATATTATAAATTATCATCAGTTAATTAATTTTTGCCACTTAAAAGATATTACAAAGCAAATTAAATTAGTAGTTTCGAAAAAAATAACGTGAAATTAGATCAAATTAAATTGAATTATATTAACTTTATGACGCTACATATAAATTAAATTATATTACGATAATAATTTGTAATTATTTATAGATCAATCAAGATAGTTCCGCATAATAGTTATCAGGATAATAATATATGATATTATAACCGAATTTTAGTATTTTTTCATCACAAGATTCTAGATACATGTAATCTTTAGCTTCGTTTGAGAAAGTTTCTTCCGCATTATTAACAATCGCGAGAATCGCGTAAAACTGTCGACCCATTGTAAGTAATATCTCGCAGACGAGATCTAATTGTAAGTAACCTGCGGCAGAGTAATTGGTCGTTGCAAACGTTGACCGGAAGTCCTCGGTCGGATATTCCGGGCGCAAAATCTTACTTACGGAATCTTATCAGCGGCCTTGGCAGTACCCATTGTATGTTTATATTGGTCGAAAATTTATGTCGAAGGCCAAAGGTCATAAGATAAAGAGGAGCGTGAACTAAAATCTTTACGTCTGTCAAATCTTACCTAGATTTATAATTATGAAAAAAGGGAAAGAAGATAAAATATATTTTATCACATATATTTTATTATTTATTATATATACATATAATATATATTATATATTTATTATATATTTATTATTTATTATATATTTATTTATATATTTTATCATTTATTTATTTATTTATTTTATTATTTTTATCATATATTTTTTCATTATAATGAAAAAAGGAAAATAAAAAGCAAAAAAAAAAAAGAAAAACAGAATTGAGAAGATGAAAATAGCAAGAGAAAAAAGAAGAGAGAGAAGATATTATCTAATTTATTCGATTATAAAAACAATGATGGATTATTGAACTCTCGAGAAGACGACATGACTCCTTCACTTGAAATACTCGAATATGATTTTCTCCGCCGTCGATTTTGATCGGCCTGCTCGATTTTTCTAGACCTGATCGTGTGACGACGACAACAATATCGAGGACGGCGTAAGCAGACCGATGCAACCGGAACGTGTAGAAGCATCGGCGTCACGCAACTCGACGAGGTCGCTGCCAAGGTCGTCGTGTGCTCCGCTACCACCACCAGCACCCTCTCATTGGATCGACGAGGGTAAATCGTGGCGAATCCTCCCAGTGATCGCCCGCTGCTGGTCGCCCGCTTGTCGTCGCGAAGGTGATCCAGAGTCTCGGTGACAGGTTGATGGCCGACGAGAGGGTCGCAGGTCCTGGCTCGCAGATCGCAGAGCCTGGCCGCAACTGGAATGCCGCGTTCCGACGAGAGGACCTCCTACTTGAACCTGTGGCGCGAGTTCCTCGTCTTCAACACGGCCGTCAAGAAGTTCAGCCTGAATCGCCGTCCGGGGGTGAGCTTCTTCTCTTCTTCATTTTTTAGGAGAGATCCTTTGACGTTTGAGCGCGTGTGACTTGAATGACAAAAATCTACGGTGTGATTTTTCAATTGACATGAATTAAAAATAATTCATGATTTCGTAGCGCTAGTAAATCGAGGTATTTTTAGATAAATTTAACCAATACTAGCTATAAATTGTTGATTTATTACGACAGTATTATTTTAACTGTACTTGAAAAGAACTAAAACCGATGGTCGAAATGTCGTAATAAATAAACAATTTATAGCTAGTATTGGTCGAATTTATATAAAAATATGATCGATATAAATTAAAATTGAAAATTTATTCTTCTTATACCTTTTTTAAAAACAAATTTTGAATTTTTGAAGCAACTACAGTTTAATTTTTTAGCCTTTATAAGTTTACGAATAAAATAAAATTGCGAATAAAATCTTCGGAATTATTTGAGAATTCGAAAAAAATATATTTTATTTTAAAGGATATGTGGTGTTTAAATAATCTTTTGGTTAAATAAAATACAATTCTCTCGGTTCGCGCGGAAGCGTATGGTAGATTATAATTTTGATAATAAAAGATATAAGATTGGAAACACATGTATTTTCAATTACACATGTTTATCGTTGAATGTGTGTAATTATAAATATAACTTATCTCATATCTCGTCATATAAAATATTGCTTTTATCAGTTTTTTTATTGTTGCGCAGTTGGACGCGATTTTCATTACTTTCGCAAACGAAAGATAAGTTACTCTTTTGTTCGAATACCGCTTTCGTAAGCTATGACGCTGCCGAGATAATTATGATGCAAAGATAAGAGTAATACATATGAAGCATCTTATCATCATACCTAAGTGGTGAATCAGAATTTGTCGCAATGTATATATGCTTAATTACCTGCAACCGCGAAGATTATAAAATAAGCCGAAGAAAGTATTTTCCTTGGCAGACGCTTATGCAAATTTTCAACAAATTAGTGCAATTTTGAAGATTTACACATTTATGCAAATTTTTTATTTTTCATTTCTCATACATTTCATGATAGAAACGAAAATTTTCGAACCAGAAGATATACGTTAATTAGATTTTCACCAAGCAACTAATGAATTCTAAAGTCAATCGAGTATGAATAATGATAATTTTTATGACAATAAAGTAGAACAAGGATAATATATTTTACAGGGACAAATAAAACATTTCTCTAATTTTTATTTTTTATTAAATACGAAATACTCATTATTATTAATAATTAATTTTTATGTTAATTTTGCAAGTTGTTTTAATGATTTCTTTTTATTAATTTATTAATAGAAAAAAGAATAAAACAAGTTAATATTTCATTTCACTGCAACACGTCTCTTTAAAAATAAAAGATGATAAACACGTTGCCACTAAATTAACATAGAAAATTACTTATCTTTTATTATTTATATAATTAATTTTTCTCTTATTTCTTCTTTCATTATAAAAGAATCCTTCCATCTTTTACGACGAACTTTACGTGTTGGATACATGACAAGGTTGACAGAGACGCTAATGCGTCGAATTTGACGACGAATTAGCAGCTATTCTAATATACGATCGAGACCTCGATAAAGAATGCAGTTGCACCGCGAAAGACGCATCGAAATAGTCAAGATCGTTGTTCAAAATTCCGATCCGCGACAAGAGTCTAAGAAATCTACGGTTTCTCGTTTATTATCCATATCGTTTTGGCATTTTTATTTGCATCGTTGAATAATGTATTGTTCATATCCGTGCAACATTCCGCATCGCAATATCGACAGAAACAATTTGAATATCATGATTCGCAGGAATGAAGGATGGGTAATGACATATAATAGATATCAAGAGATAACATTAAATAATATTTATTACGAGTAATTTATGAGTTGCCAGTGAAATAAAAATAAAAATATAAAATGTGTTAATAAACCGATCACAACTGGCAATGTTATTATTTAGTTATTTATTCAAAATTTAGACAACGTTTCGACCTTAGTTCAGGTCCTTATCAAGTCTGCTAAAAAATAAATTTTAGTACGAATTTTATTATGTAGAAGTGTGTCAATTTATTTCTCAATTTATTAATTTATTTAAGAAATAAATTGACACACTTCTACATAATAAAATTCATACTAAAATTTATTTCTTAGCAGACTTGATAAGGCCCTGAACTAAGGTCGAAACGTTGTCTGAATTTTGAATAAAGTCCTTATCAAGTCTGCTAAGAAATAAATTGACACACTTCTACATATAAATTAAATAAAAAAATAAAAAAATATATATAAAAAAAATAATAAAATTCATACTAAAATTTATTTCTTAGCAGACTTGATAAGGACCTGAACTAAGGTCGAAACGTTGTCTGAATTTTGAATAAATAACTAAAGAATAACATTGCCAGTTGTGGTCGGTTTATTAACACATTTTATATTTTTATTAAATAATATCTTCAGTTTTTCTGTAGTACACACTTTGTGCTTAGAATGTCTGTTTGAATTTTTATTAAAATGAGGAATGTTTATCCTTGTGAATAATGTTTGTAATCGGAAAAAGATAAGGAAAATGAGAGCTGCTCGAGAACTGCTGACTCAAGGGAATTATATATTATTAATCTGTATTAAATCTGAAAATTCCAGAAACCTAGCGGGATGAATGTATCTACGGTGTTCCCCGAAGGATACGTGGAAAATGAGCGAATACAGCGTCATGCAACAGCGGCGCCTAAGGAGGAAGAAGGAGGATTTGATATGGAACGATATCAACGTAAGTAGATTTCAATGCTTCATTTTGTATGTTAGATTTTAGAATATAAAAGATATAAATTTTCTTGGCTATAGTTTGGGTCGAATTAAATATATCGTTCCTATTTTAAATGCCACTAGCGACGTTTTAAGTATTCAATTTGATTTTATAAAAGATATAATTATCAGAAGAAAAATAAATAGTATACATTTCTTAAAAAATTATAATTTACATTTAATCATTTTTTTTTATTCTAATTTTAAAATTGTTTTATTCTGCTCGACTTTATTTCACTTAAGTCATGTTCTGCAAAATTACGTATTGAAAAATATTATCACTCCTAAATCTAAATTAGGAAATTATCTTGTATTACGCTTTTACATATCACGAAGTTTTATCTGCTGTATAAATCTATAAACCTATAAAAAATTATATAGTTTTTATATTACTTTATTTTATGTCTTATATAAAATAAGATATTAACACTAAGTCTGCGTGTTTAAAAATACGATCTCATAGATATAAATTTTGTTCATCTAATGGCTAATATCTGACAGAATTTTAATGTTTTATTTTATTTTTCTTCAGAAAATTATATCATTTATTAAAATTTTCGTGGAAATTTTTCGAAACGATTATGTGCTTTATCAAAACAAGAAGCGCATTTTTATTGCAGAGAAATATCTTGTAAATGTTGCTTGATATCTGTATAAATGCATCGCTGCATATCGTTATGCAATTATGAAAATAAAACTAAATAACGTATTTTATCGCGTGTCATCATGTCCCGAGAAAGGGATCACGAGACAATTCTCTGTTTAATTAATTTCTACAATCATTTCTGTTGAGGAAATCCTAACATGCAGTGTTATACCAGCAATGACATTTATTATAATCTTGCTGAAATTCTTCATTCTTGCAATCATATATCGAATTACGGATATTAAAATAGCAACTCTATTTCTATAATTAATATTGAACGAAAAATATAATATCAAATAATTTTAATATAAATCTCTTTTATATTTATACGTAATATTTTTCGAGAAGAAAAATGACGATGGTGTTATTTGTAAAAAAAATACTTCGATTTTTATTTATATTACAATTATATTTTTTCATCATTTTTTTTTCTAAATCAGTGGAATGGAATTTCAACATTCTTTTGCAACAACTTTAATTATTTATTACATGATTGCAATAAATCCCTATTTTATCGACGGAAAGATATAACTGGATATCAACTCTACACGCGTTTAATTTTATATTGCTTTAAATCGCTCTCGATAGATTGCGACTCATGAAAGGAACGTGAAAACGTATAGGCTTTATATATTTGAAAATTATTTGATATAATTTAATATAATTTTATTCCTTGTCTTTCTCAAAATAAAATTTTTAAATCACAATTTTTTAAGTAAAATAGTCTTTCTACAAATTACAAATTTGCAACGTTGAATAATAAAGAGCAAATTTAGATTTGATATAATAAATTAGAGTATGGAAATAATTATTATAGTCCCAAAATATATGGAGAATTCAGATTTTTTTCTGGATTTCTTTATATTTTTTATTCAAAAAAGTTATAAAATTTTTGCTTGTTATTTTCGAATAAAACTGGTGATTTACAAAGCGAAAAATTCTGCGTTGTATTGCGCATTGCATTCTAATTATTGGTAATTTTCTGTGCTTATTGCGCATAAAATTTGCTTATCTTATATTTTGCAAACGTTACAATATATATTTTTTATTTTAATTACATTTTTCTTGAATTTTTAAAAATATGATAAATTAAAGGTTTTTATTTTTTTCTCGAATATCATATAATTTCATATAATTATACAAGATGTATCGATAATTTCTACTATTTAAAAAAAAATTGCAGATTACTCATTTTATTGATAATTTTGCTTATTTTATGAAAAATTTTGTGTATTTGTTCTATTTTATTTTCATCTCTCGAAATTGTTCAAAAAAACAGATTTTCTTTTTATTCGATGAAATAACCGCGGATTGAGTTGTGAAACGGAAATAAACAAATTGTACGGAACGGAAATTTTTGCATTCCGTAGCTTTGTTGACGTGCCTCATTTTCTATGCGTCGACAATTATAGTGTTCTCGACTGTATAACTCCGCGACGGCGGCTTCCGCGCGCGCGATTAGCATCTGCCGTTAATGTTATCCGTTCGAGAAATTGTGCCCTAACGATCTCCACATGATCGCATCGCCACAATAATGCGATGATCGGCGATACGTGTTTACGAGTCTTTGATTCATCATTCAATCATTATGTGCGCAGAAAGAAGGCGCTCTTTAATCACGTATTGCACTCCCGCTATTCTTCTCGCCGACATACTATTAATTATCTCCCTGAACAACAGCAAGGAATATTCTCAGAACGTACACAGACAAAATTCTTTTTTTTTTTTTTTTTTATGAATTGGACATTTTTTGCATTCTTGCGTAAGTTCGTAGTAGTTTGTTAATATAAGTAAGATTTAAAAGTTTTAAGTATCAAATGAAAATTTATATTAATTTTTCTAATAGACTCTTTTCTCGACTTATTGCGTTATACTTATCTTATTATTATTGTTCTCCCTGTTCGCGCATAAACTTGAGTTAGATGTGAAACTACGATTGTCGTGCAAAATTTATTTTACGAGTCTTCCGGGGACGCGATGCAATTAAGTTTTATGCATTTATGGCGAAACGAAGAGTCTCGCGACAATTCTCACCTTGAATTAAAATTTAAAATTTGTGAAATTTATTTGTGAAATTGCGCATGAAAAATAACCTGTTGTTATTTAACTACCGTCCCTGAAACGCAAGATTTGCCCAGCATAACGTACACGTATAATAAATTAAAATACAATTAATTAAATAATTTTTATAATTTTTAAATTATGATAATAAGCGTGTGATCTTTAAATTAAAAAAATAATTAAAAGTACTAGGATTATATTATTTAAATGTATTTTAAAAAGATTGATACCGCTAATGTTCGTTCGAGTAAAAAATTTTAAATCATTACATTCCAAGACGATTGTTTATGCAGTCATTTTTTGTCATTACATTTTTTATGCTTTATACGCATTCTTTTATCATAAAAGTTGTATTATAACATATGAATTCTAGGATTTGTTTTGAAGATAAATACTTTGAATATCCGTCAGGATTTCTTTAGCTAAATTTGAACATATCTTTTTCATAACTTTTCAATATTAATAAGACCTAAAATTAAAATACATAAAAAGAAAATTTACTTTAAATCTTAGACATTTAAATTTCTATCACATTGAATATTCTGTATCTTATATATCATGTCTATGTTTAGAAATTTGTATTAAATATATTTAAATTAATTTACAATATTAAATCAATTTTTCTCATCTTTAAAATTTATATCGAATTTATTTTAATATTATATAATTATTAAATCTAATGCACATAATTTGTGCACGCGGTTTAACACATTACAATGTTTATTATTATACTACGATAAAGCATTATTAATACTTATATATACAATATTTTTCTATGCTGACATTCTTAATAGAAGATTTTGTCATTCACGATCAATCTGATAGAATCGAGATATTCTCGACTGAAATTTAAATTTGTCAAGATTATACGGACTTTGATGCTGAACATCTACGCGATAAATGTTGTTTTTAGTCTCAGGCACAATAAAACACGACATATTTTATTCACGATAATAATATTTATTGCAAGTCATAAATAATTAAATTGCTACCGGACTACTAAATATTCTTTCCTGGTTTAATTATATATCAGAGGATTTATATATACATTTTAATATTTAAAAATTAATTTGAATATTATTGAAAGTTATTATTATACATATATAAAAATCGTATGAACATTCGATAGCTTATGATAATTGCGCGCAAAGGGAAAAATTCGAAAGCAGTTGTTAGAAAAAAAATCTTTCATCGTTAAATATAAATTATAAAGATCTAATCACCCGAATGATTAAGAATGATTATGAATGATTTTCCTTTAGATCGGTTACACGTCACACTTTTGCAACGCTAATAAGTCGCGAGAGCAATTGATCAGACTGGCCGACAGCCTGATTATGTGAGATACATTTATAAATGTCGTGCGCAAAAGATATGCGATCCGATTCAATTAATGGAACTTATCCATATGGTATTCTAATGATTAATAATAATACATAAATTGTCTATTGCCTCAAGCGAAACAAATCGTTTTTATTCGCACGTACATATATCGCATAACTCGCGTAAACATAAGTTATATTACCTCATCTGTATAGTTAACATACGTAGTTAACATACATTACTTAACATTCTCTTTCGAGAATTTTAAATAAATTAAAATCAAATATATTGTTCTAATAAAATATTCTCTAGGAATCATGCTCGAGTTGAATAAATCACTCTTATATATATAATTGCTTCCGAATTCGATGAATTTGTCCTTTTACTGTATGTAGTAAAATACATACGCGTTATTGAGAATCTTGTTGTTAGAAGTCATTACGGAAGGAGTTAAATAAAAAAACAATCAATGATCTCAGCTATGCTAAATCATTCTTCAATCACGATGCCTTGTTCCCGGGCATGTCATTAAAGCGTTGTAGTATGTTTTGCATTGAAATGTCATGATTTCCGATCCTGCGAATTCCCGAACGCGTATTGCATAATCGTGCGCGTTTTTCCGTTTCTCAGAAACAACGCATAATCAGCCTTCATTCGCGCTATCGCGACGAATCTACTTAATCGCTCGTCTAATTTTGCATATACGGGTAGGCGATTAAATAGAAATGGGTTACTATTTTTGATCTTTTTGCTAGTTAAAAAGATCTCTTTGCTGGAGATGCAATCGCAGTTATTCTATGTTGCCCCTTATGCACTCGAGCGATCCATTAAATGCGCAATAAATCTAAATGACTCATAATTACTAATTATGAGAATAATTATTCAAATAGCCAATGTCTATCAAATAATATATTAAGCATTTTAATTATGCAAAA